CTTTTAAAAAGTGATATATACAACTTTTTCATCTCTGTTAGTTAGAGAGCCTGCTATTAGCCATGTGTGTTTTAGACGTGTGTACATGCGAGATGGGTTAATAAAAAAAGCAACCTTGTATTTCTACAGGATTAATACCTCCTCCAGAGTAATCCTATAAATTTGTGTGTGGGACAATATACTAGTTTTTATTTATCTTACTGTAATTTGTTTAGATACGATAAAAACTCTACCAAGCCTGTATTATTAGTCAATATTATCCTGCATATGTACAGAAAAAGTTATATTTAATGTACCTACTTATTGTATAATGACTAAAACAATAGTAAATAACAATACACTAATATTTCCTAGATTCACAATGTTACAGTCAAAATGACATCTATTTTTGTAGCCATTTAAATAGGTCATTGTGATGTTTTGCACATTACATACTTTATACATCCAATATGTGGATACATATAAATATTTACAAGATACATACATATGTATATTGTAAAATAAAGATTGCAAATACAAATTAAATATGATGAACTCATACTACTCATGATTATGTAATTATGTTTATAACAATTTGATTTGAACTTTAAATGCAGCCAAAAAAGCTAGTGAGTATACAAATATATGCAATATTAAACAAATAATACTTAAATTAAGCTATTGACTAAACATTTTTTGTCTATACAATCTTCTAAGACTAAAAGAAAGTGCAATAAATTCTTCAGTACATTCAAATAAAACTATCAACTATCCAATATGCATATACATATTTAATATTCTTATATAACTAGGAGCATAAATAAACTCCATTAGGAACTCAACATTATGTATAAAACTACAAAATCCCAACTGTAGCCTGAGCTAGCCTCAAAGTTCAGATAGTTCAACATGGGTTCATTGACCTGTCCTTTCCCTTTACACAACAAGTAATGTTTAGAGAAAATCCAGCGGAGTGTGAAATTCTAAAAATAAATTGTAATACTAATGGAACTTATATATTACATTTTATATGAAATACTTATTGAATGGTATGCAATAAAATTTATGTTTAAATAAGGATTATCTTTGTATTTTTTATTTATTGACGAAAATTCTTATCTTTTGTATTATTTAACATATTTTTGAGGTAATTTCGTGTAATACGAGGTATAGATTTCCATTGTTAAATTTGAAAAACCAATTATGACTATGTACAATAACTATACTAATTTGTTTCTTTTCGTGCTTAATTAATTGATGATGACCAAATAATAAATATGAATGATATGTATACAGTTCTAAGTAACATATAATAATAATTATCATAATGTCGAATTAGATAATGTTTACTAAAACAATTTTGATACTTATTTGTACATAAACATATCAGAACTAGAAAATTATTGGCAAACAAAGTACTTCATTTTTTCTTTAATTCCAATTTTAAATTTGAAAAAAAACCATTTGTTTAATTCCAACTAAAGCAGTTTAATGTAATTTTGAAATCAGTATAGCAAAAAATGGTAGTTTCCAGCTAGACAAATTCAATACATAGGTCAGTATTGAATTTGTCTAGTATTCATCATATTGTAAATCTTGTCAATATAAATGACCTAGGAAAACTTCAATAATAAAAGCATACAAACAATCAATAAGCAACACTAGCTTAATTTATTGAAAATAACGAATTAGAAACTGCAAAAACCACCTGAGAAAAGCTCTCGTCACTGCAAAGTTGAGTAGTACTGTAGTAGTTAGTACTGTTAATTCAAGTCATTCTTTTTAGTAAATTTAATTAAACAATGAACCAATGAAATTATTCTTGAAAATAGACCATAAAATTTCCTATCTGACTACTCTCTGAGAAGAAATGCCGAAACAAACTCAGAAGGTCCATCGCTATAATGTCCTCATATAATATACCTACTTACTATTTAACTGTATTTATTAAGTGCATAAGTGCTTACTCTAGTTTATCATCATCATAACTTAAGTATGACTCATAAGATTCTGCTTATAATAACATTAAGTAACAAAATGTTATCATTATCACCTAACTGATAAAGAATTTGGCATACATTCATCAATATTTGTTTTGCCAATTTATAACAAATAAAATTCAAGCTTTATTTTTGTGTCATTATGGTTGTTTTTTCTTTAACACTGAAGCAGTATGAATTAGTGTAGGGTATAGTGATATCGGGAATTCTTACAAAAGGTTATGTTGCAGGAGATTTATCGGAATATAACAGGGCCAATGTGACAATTATTATTTTATTATGAGAGGTCATATGTAAGTTACACACAAGCATGCCGAAACTGAAACATTATCTGAATTCATACATTGGTTTCCTTTATTACCGGAGATGATTTCAACAGATTAAATAAAGTAAATAAATGTTGTGTGTAATTCTATTTAATTTCTCTGTGGTTATGTAAATAACACATTCATTAAAATATGTTTGCAATTCCTAATGAACTATGACATCACACAAATAAAATTTAATTTCAATGCACTGCCATGTGCACTATAAAAAGACACGAATTCTTATACTGAATAGTTTATTTGGTTAATTTTAATGTAATCTGATGATTGATTAAGGCAAGTCTAATAGAACACTAACTAGTCACATAAACAGCTGATGGGACAAACTCACACATGCAAAGGAATTTTAACGGAAATAGATCTGTCATATTTATTTACTAAAATAAATATTGCAGGGGAGCTACGTGACTACTTCGTGTTTTGATATGGCTGTCCGTCATCGAAGTACTTGCTGATGACTACAAAGTACTTGTTTAATTATCAACATCTCAAGATATTAAGACAAATCATGTGTTTAGCGGTGAAAACAAATTTTTTGTAAATAAATAAACATTATTATCACCAATAATAGGAGATAATTACAAGTACCATCAAAATCAACTACCAATTTTTCACAATACATACAAGAGAAGCATCTATAAATACCAACCATTTCATCGACTTGTTACCGCACGGATAACATAACGAATTTATTCTTCTTGCACTACATTGTATATTTTATCCGAAATAAGGTGAAGAACACCGAAATATACGAAAACAAGAGTTATGGGAAGACAAATATGGCGGCCACTGTGAACTTCACCAGCACAACGGCGTCTGATTCTATACGCTAATCTTGATGATTATAAGAATAAAACTCACCTTGTAAAGTTCAATGTAATATGATTTGCCTTTTGGGCCACTTGTTTGATAACTTTTCACGTCTTTCCCATCATTTGTAGAAGTCATTTCTTACGAAAATATCGCGGGGAGACATTTATGCGCTTGTGTTTTCGTAATTGTACTGTCAAAGTCAATGTTGCTATAAAAAAATAAGGCAACCACATACATAAATGTGACAAACGACTAGCAACATTATAGTGTATATCAATTTTGTTTTCTTCTGCCGCCACGTGCTTAGCAAGTAAAGCCAACCATACACTAATAAACTAAATTCTAATAAAAAAATATTGGTTGTGATTATTGTTATTTTATTGGTGTTGTTATTTTATAGTTATTGTTTTCTTGTAAATAAAGTTATTAGTTTGCAATTCGATTCTCGATAATTATTATTTTCACAATAATGTGTTTTTGAGTAGATATTTTTCATGTATGGCTATGAAAAAACAGAAATAAAGTACTGTTTCAGCAGCGGAATTTAATTACAGTAGTCAGTCGCCTAAAATGTCGCATTGTAAGCATATATCGTTACGACGATGACATGACGCGACATGACGGCTAGTCTAGGGTCTGTAGTAAAGATTCATTGACCGCTAGACGGTCAGTCCTAGAAGATTAACTTTTATGAATTCTAACCGTTTTCATAATAGTCGTTGTTTGCATATGTCCTTAATGTTTCAAACTATCGTTATCCGTTACCGAGTTCATCATGTGCAACAGATAATGGTAGTAATTTGGGCCTATCATCTTTTCAACAAATAGTTAGCTAGGTAGTGTTTTTCATTGAACATCAGATTGTGACTTTGGTGATTTGACCAACTAATCTATAGCTTGATAGGCACAACCCTATGAGCTGGAAACTAGTAGCCCATGTAAGATCCATTCAACAAGCATTCGCTGTCGCCATCCCATATATGTATACTAAAACAGAGATCCAAATCCTACGGTCGTTTCATGGAAACTTTTTAGTTTCTATAATTTCCTTACATTCGTTGCGACACACGAGTAGTACCATACCCCCATAAGGGTGCAGGCGACCTAGACAAACTTTCCCCTTTTTCTACAACAATCACAAACCATTAAGTTGCAGCTTGTAAATCTGTAACGGGTTTTGTAAAATTTTAGTATAATTTAAAATATCCCGTGAAAATATCCATCGTTAATACTTGATTTCGTATTTATAGATTTGTTATGATTTATATTCCAAGATCTGAATTCAATATTCAAGAGTTTGAATGAAGTCAAGGCACTACGGACGTAGTGTTTTTATACACTTTGGGCACTACTACTTCAAACTTCCTTTACAGAATTTAATTTCAGATTTTAGATGTAAAAGAAAAGTAATTTATTCCAAATTATTCGTATAACGTCTACCCTACTAATATTATAATGTAAAAGTTTGTGAGGATAAATGGATACAGTATGATTGATATTCTTTCACAAACGCAAAAACGGCTGGAATGACTATATAGATTGAATCTATCTAGATTAAATTAAATCGTTTGTAGATAGACCCTGGATTAACACATAGGTTAATTTTTATCAACATACCGCCTGGGCGAAGCTGTAGGCGGAAGCAAGTAAGAAATAAATGAAATTGTATTTTTCAATCAATGTTGCTGAAAAGGGCACAATATGTAGAAGATATTTCAAAAATATTAGTATTCACTACAATTTAAAAACGTGAAACGACATTTCATTTGATAGAGAATAGTACAACAGTAGCGACAACTAGTGTGATAAATAAGCGGCTATGCCCATTTTCTTTGATTTTACAAGAATATTATTCTGTCGATGTGTCTATGAAAATGATTGCTATAATCTATGGCAACAGATATTTTATTTCGGTTGGCAATATTGTAGTACAAAGCAAAGCGAGTTGTGTCAAGAATTACTGCGTTTTTTACGAAAAATAATCTCAAATTACAGTAGGAAAATGTAGAATTCATTGTTCACGTAAAGTTAATTATGTATGAAATAAAATAATTGATTATATTTCTTATTACCAACGTTATATCCGACGTCTTCCCTAATAAAAATTGATGTGTCAAAGTGCACGGGAATAGAAGGGCCGATAAATTATCACTTTTAAAGCTTGATTAGGCAGTGTATTAAATTTTAGTAGCGTTATTTTGCGATTATAATGTACAATGAAGTGTAATTGAAGGATTTTGGGGACAAGAGTGGAATAGGGCGTGTGATCCCACTTGGCACATCTGGCGAAGTGGCGACCCTTTATTACATTTTCTCTTTCTATTCATTAACAGGCGATTATTTATTGTTGTTTGAAATTTTTTAACCTGCAGACACTTTATTTTGAATCGAAAACTTTCGAACTCCTTTGAGATTATTTTGCGTACCAGAAATCTTTTTATTACATGCATAACAAAAAAATTACAGTGTAACTTATTTTACTAATTATTCTATTTCCAGTCATTTTTAAACATTAATGTACATATTAATAATTGTGTGTTTATAAGCGAACAGTCTGCTTAGTGTTGTGATGTGTTTATCAAGTGATTATAATATTTTAACACATTGTGAACCCATTGAGTGTTATCACTGTTAAAATGGCTAAGAAATCGGATAATACCGGCGGTAAGCTGGTCACTGTCTCTGTCGTCGGACTTTCTGGTAAGAATATTTTTTAATTTAATTCCAATCAAATCATTCATTATGCACACCGGTTTTCCTATCCAACCTTATTTAGAAATACACTTTATTGTACATACATATACAAAAAAAGTTTAGTAGATACTGGTAGATACGATAGAAGAAATTTTGTGACTATAATGAGGATCTTACAACACAGGGCCTCACTTAGCGGCAACCAGAAATCTATATTAATGTTAATCTAAACAAAGCAGGATGTCAGTGGCAGTCATACAATCTCAGTGGAAAAAAAACAGAACAGATGTAGTAAATAATTTTGTCTATAATTTAGTGGTATGAAATCCTTTTATACGGTTATTCAACACAGTAAAGCTGAGATTGGTGCGGAGTCATTAATCTAATTGTTTTGTACTAAAACTAATATAAACTGCAAGTATGATTTAACAATTCCTAAGTTACAGGATTAATGGAAACATACAATAATCATTCTTCAGGATTTCTTAAACTAAGTAGATTCTTACAATGAAATTGGTCTAATACCCATCCAAGTAGAATGTGTCCAATAATAATCCAATTAGATTTAAGTGACCTACCTAATTTAATAAGTGAATTATGATTCTTAGGGCAAGTTACACAATGTGTTATAGTAGCTGTTTGGTAAATTGATGTAATACATATTATATGTGATAAATGCCCATCAGTTAAGCTTTATAGATTACTCCCATCCTTCCCCAATCCCTAAATCACCAAAACGCATTTGAGGATTGCCGCCAAAAGAATGGCAACATACATAGCTCCTCCATTGTTGCGGGTGTGTATGGGTGGTGCTGATTGGTTAAGTAATCCATCTGCTCATTGCCACTCCATCACATAAAAAAGCTATAACAAGGGTTTTAAACATTCATTAAAAAACGATGTATGTTTTATAGACAAACTTGATGAACAGCAAAAAATTTAGCTTTTACTTTTCAATTTAAGCTAATTTTTGGCATATGAATGCCTGGAATGTAAAATTAAATAAAATACTTATTTAACATAAAACTTTCATATAAGATTTCATAAATAAAATTCCTGAATACATAATGTATCATGTAATTTTAATAATATCTTTAGAATGTTGTGTACATAACTTTCTTGTGTATAATTTGTTAATAACTTTCACTGTGCATTCACCAACTTCAGTATTTTGGAATTCCATGACATAGCCAGAAATTCTTTTCTTAGTATGCTCTGCATTTTTGAAATATCACACAACTTGCACCAAAATTAGCCTTGAGGAAGATCATTATTATCTTATCTGTGTGCTAAAGACATTGCTTTTGTGTATTGAGCGAGTCATGTTCTTGAAAAAGGCTCACATACAGAAGTCGGTATGTTGGGGAAGGTTTAATATTAAGATAAGGTATTACCATATCTTTTGAGGAGCCATTGGGTCAGAAGGCTGTTGTGAGAAATAAGATTGTAAACTCTATATCAATATTAAAGGCTAAACTATATACAAAAAATGTTTGACAAGTTGCTTTTAAGTAGATAATATTAAATTTTATAAAATAACCCATGACTATATTTTAAAAATGGTGTAATAGTTTTTAAGATCCCGATGTAAATATTCATATGTATTGGTTATGTATAATTAAACCTCTTTTATGATTCTACCAGAAATAATATTTCCATTTAGAATTGAAATAGTCAAGCATTTGCTAATCCTTATCACTCACTACATCATTATTTCATAATGTACAACCACTTCGGTTTTTAAATGTGTTGCTCGGAAAATACTCTTAAATTTGGTTGTGAGTATGGTTTTCATCAACAGCATTTATTAAGTTTATTATTAAATATATCAAAACAAGAACAAGTGTGAGATAATCATAAGTACATCTATGTAAAGTAAGTAGGTAGTAATTTACATATAAACATAATATTATCATTTTATGTTATTATGACAGGTGGTATCGGTCTTATCTTTGTCTGTTATGTATTTACATTTACACTGCAGATACTCAAACAGATAAGATTGAGAGTTATGAATGAAAATGTTCAATTTAATGGACATTGTGATGATGATTGAGACTGGAGTTAAGGCTTCTTCTGTTTCAGCCAGTACTGCTACCTCGGCCTAAAGTAGGAGCAGGAAAAGGTACTTTTTATTCAGTAAGAGTCTGACACTCCCTCTCCCCTCACCCTGGGAGAAAATGTGGTTGGATGATTTCCTTTCACAAATAACCTGTTTTTGTTATTAGTATTTAAAAAGATATTGAAAAAGGATTTGTATTTGTTGATCTTTTAACAGATTATAGGATATTCTAGTTAGAAAATGACACTATTTGCATTACTGATTACATTAGTAGTGTGCACACATGGTACCTACAATCACTTTTCAACAATACACTATGAAAGTTTTACTGTTTGTATTTGTACATGCCTACTGCTGAAAATCAACTCTGTGCAACCATCCCATTTTATCAATAACTCAAGATTTGGCGATCGAGCTTGCCAACTGTGTAGCAACGATGCATAAACTTCATATCTATTATAAAAAAACTGATAACCTCTTTCTTTTCAAACTCTATTATATTATTAAAAACCTAATTGTAATATCTTAAATCGTAATATCAGGATATTGCAAAACGCCGCCATATTGTTTTTAATTGGGCCTGAATTCGTTCTCATAACTGTCCTCGGCCCAGCCGTTAATAATGAAACAATTGCCGTGCATTTTATTTATGTAATGCACTTATCAATGAAAGAGCAATTTAAAATCCAGTTTTAGCTCTGTGCAATACGCGTGACGTCATAGTGTTATTTAAAGTTCTGAAACAATGGAACAATATTTATTTTGTAAATAGGTTAGGCTCATGTGTCTCAGAGAAGTATCTAAGTAGAGTAGGACTTTCTTTTGCTATTTGCGATGAGATTTTTTGCATCTTTTGATTCTAAGGTATTTAGATTGTAATCGGAAGTTCGAATTTGTTAATAACGTGACGGAATTAGAAATCACATTTGTGATACTTAGCAAAACTTAGTTATTAAGTGTGAGAGAGCTCAACTTCGGCACATACTTATGGGTCGGCCCTACCGGACTGAATACCACGGCTTAACAAACAACCAGCGTAAAACATCCATAGCGTTGTGTTTCGCCGTGTGACTAAGGTTACTTGAGGCCCTAACCCTTCCCAGTCTCTAAATCTCCAGTCCTAATTCCCAAAAGGCTGGCAATGCACACATAACTCCTCCAGTGTTGATTGTCTGTGATCGTAAGCAGTCTGCTCGTTTGCCGTATAACAACATAAAAAAGTCATAGAGCCCTTCATTGGGGTAGGCAGATACAGGCAATGATCACCAAGTAACAAGATTATGGACTATAGGATGATGTATGTATAAGAACCTAAGGATATGTTATGATAATGGACGTTTAAAACTTAAATAGTGAAAAAATCCCACATGGCTATAACTTGTAAATGCAATTTAAGTCTTGGCATCTCGCCCTTATTCTGTTCAGTTTACACCTTCAGGCCACATTAGGGTTGCCACCTTTTTTTGCAGTTAATAAAGTACATTGGTTATTATAGGTAAGAAAAAAAAGTACATGGGATCAAGATAAAGAACAATTTATTTTTCTTTATTTTTATTGTTCAAAACATATTTTTATTGCTTTTTGCAGTTTGCATTAAATAAGTATCTCTACTAAAACATCTCTTCATCTCGCTGTTCATCACAGACTTTTCAAAATCCCAAAAAAATCAATACATACAAAATAAAGTATTTTCGTGTACTTTATTGTTCTCATAGAGTATAGAGTACAATTATATGAAATAAAGTACAATACTTTATTATAAAGTACGGGTGGCAACCCTAGGCCACATACACCTAAAGTATATAAGAACATATTTCAAAATTTTAAAGCTGAAGAGTCTGTTTAAATGCGCTAATCTCTGGAACAGCTGGTTAGAATTGAACTATTATGTTTGTGTTAGGTAGTCCATTTATCGAGAATGCTAGGCTATAAAACATCACGCCACCAATAGCAGCCGAGGAGCGGACAAAACTGTACTTTCATTTAATTTAGGGCTGATTTTTCAATAGCCAGATAAATGTTATCCGAGCAATAAAATTGTTGCTGTCACCGTCTTATACAAACATTTTGACGCGACAGCATCATAATTATTCCCCAGATAACTTTTATCTAACCATTGAAAAAATCATCCCTTTATTAACCCAAACCTGACATGGGGCGAATAAGTCTGATTATTATTTGTATGTCTTTACCAATCACGGGACCACAGGGTCCCGGTCATTTGGGAGGCGTACGAGGGGCCGGAGCCAACTGCGCAGAGGCCCTTTAGACAACTTTAATCTAAATGAAATGGGACACAAACCGGCGACTATCCCTGTATGCACTATGGAAATACACCCAAGGACAGTCCCCGGTTAGTGTAGGACTATTGCGGATAATGGAAGTAAGTAATAAGGCTATGGGTGTGGGTTGTTATGGACCGGTATGATGGGAACTATGGAAGGACTATGGCACCTGCCGAAACAATGTAATTTATACACGTAAACCGACCGGGCCCCCGGGAATGGTTGCTAGTAATAGCAACAGAGGGACAACGGAAATGTGAGTGGCTGAAGGGTGAAGAAACTGCCACCAGCTTTCTACTCAGATCATCTGCATCTACCTAAGCATCCTGCATCACTGGCCCACTCGCCGCTTACGAACAGCTTCCACCCTCCGAGCAGGATCACTACTCTCGCGACTCCACTCTGGACGGCCAATGAAGGCAAGCCAGAGGCGGGAGACCTGTTCCTCGTCATCGTTCACTCCGGCCAGCCAATAAAGGCAAGCCGGAGATAAGGAACGGTGACTCCTCCCTGGAGCAATCGGGATGATGATAGCCCGCGGGATCGCTAATTCCCGTCACCTCGCCTCAAGGTGCCCTGCGGGCTGATTATTATTATTATTATAAGCGGGATTTTATTATTACATTACGTGCGTACCTATAATAAATAGTCGTCCGGTCCATACTCCATACAATATCTACGACTCTTAAAAGCTACCATTGAAAGTATAAGCGTCAGTTGATCGTCAATAGTCGGTAGTTTGCCACCAGTCAAAGTTGTTCTATTGTTGTATTGTTATCAACAATACTTCCTGTTATCAAGCGTAGGTGTTAGATTGTTTGTTTCGTTGGGAGAAAGTTGATAACATTTTTCTATACGGATGATGGTTGCATACTGATTTGGTTGACAATTCGATAGTTTCTATGTAGTCAATTTCGATAATTGTATTGAAATGTCAAAAACGATACTTTCCTATGAATTTTGTACGAGGTCGAAAAGTATGACGTCACAATTTTTATACGTTTTTAAACAGCATAATTATTTTTAGAAAGTTAAATAGCTAAAGTTAAGTATATCGTCAAATTAATGAATGAAAGTCTGATTATCTGTTCTATCTATACTTACTAATATTATAAAGCAACTCTGTCTGTCTGTGTGTCTTTTCTTCACGCCTAAACTACTGAACCGATTTCTGTGAAATTTGGTGCAAACATACACAACAATGCGCGCGAACTGTACATAACAGTGTAGTTTGGAACTCGAGAAAGGACAAAGGACAGCTTTTATACCAAAAATCTGCAGGACGTCACTATTCCACGCGAACGGAAGCGCGGGTAAAAACTAGTATTTAAAAAAATCTTGTTATGTTTTGTTAAATAAATAATTTATTAGGGTGCAAGTTCAAAATGTAATAAGTACATTCCCACGTGCCTTTTTTTTTGTGAGAGGAAAATCATCAAATGGCTTCTCCCGCCCAGGGCCGGGCGGGAGGGAGTGTCAGACTCTTATTAACTAAAAACCCCCCTGTTCCTTCTCCTGCTCCGGGTCGAGGTCGCGGTGCCTTATTGCGCTTACCCCGCAACCCTGGCACGTGCCTGAATCACTGAATTGTATATCCCAGACATTGGTAAAGGAAATTATCGTGAGGAAATCTGGACTTATCCAATCATAAGTTTAAAATCGCCAATCAACCATGCTTGTTCCTTTACCGTGTTATGAAAAGAGGACCTTGCTCAGCAGCAGGCTCTTATAGGTTGATGACGATGGTGTATTGTAGTCCCAACGTTCTGCCACTGCAATATAATACTACCGTAATTCTGAACCAGTGATGCATTAATTGACCCAGTTAAGACCATGAAAAAGAAAATAATAATATTAATTACCTATAAAATAAGTAATAGTGAATATTAGTTTATCCTTATTACGTTGAAGCTTGTAGGTTGAATTGACTCACTGTTATATTTATTAACGTTAATTTTTTTTTACGGTATAAGTCGGCAAACGACCAGATGGACCTCCTAGTGACGGCAACGCACTTGCAATACCAAAGGAGTTGCGAGTCCGTTGCCGGCCTTTTGGGGATAGGGGTTGCGGATATAAGGATCGGAAAGGGATAGGGGAAGGAGAGGGATTGGCCCTCCGGTAACCTCACTCACACGGTGAAACACAACGCTGTGGTTGTTATTGTTACGTGGTAAAAAATAAATGTCATTACTTGCGTAAGTTCTTGACATTCTGGGGTCAGTTATAATGTGGGACAGAAATGTTCATAAGTCAGTAAGTCGACTGGCTGCAAAAATGCGCGCATTTTCGCGAATAGTAAAATTTCAAAAGTCAAATATTACATCACATCATTAGCCTATTAGTGCCCATTGCTGAGCAAAGGTCTCTTCTCACACGGTGAAGGTTTGAGCATTTATCGCAAATTTATATTTGGAAAATGTAAAGACAGGGTTTCCTCACGGTATTTTCCTTCACCGTATGTCAGTGGTGTACAAACAATCATAGAAAGTACATAAAACTCGTAAAAAGTGTCGTTGGTACTCGTCAGGTTTTGGATACTGCGGCCTCATGCATGAGAAGCGGGCGCATTAAGCACCGTGCATCCATGACATAAAAAAAAATCGAATGTTTTAAAAACGTCAGTGTCAGTTAGTCCTCTAGCGAAGCTATTTGCTCGTTCCAAAGTGTAGATTTACAAGAACGAGTAAGAAACACGATATCAAATCCATTCATTGTCTAGTTGAAGATAGGACTGAGCTCATCACTTAATTAAAATTATCACCTTACTATCATCAGGCTGTTCTACGTTAGTTACTTATTTTATATACACAATGAGGGGTTTCTGAGATATTCGCCATGAAATGGCTGTTCTGTAGCGTCAGATCCAACCATCGATTTATATTTCTCTGTATTTTTTTAATTTTTTTTATTCTTTAAAATGTCATATAAATAGCTCTGAAAAGAACTGTTTGTCGCGTGCTTTGAGGTCGTGGGAAACGTATTTATTATGATGTGGTGTATCTTGACTGCACAGGCTTGGCCGTTTTTTAACAACTGATTCTAAGCTAGTTGGCTTTCTTTTGAGGACTTAAAATCACCAAAATGAATTCTCCCGCCCTGGAGTCAGCGAGAGCGCCAGACTTTTACTGACGTAAAACCACCTCGTTTCTTCGCCTGCTTTGAGCCTAGGCACGTGTTAAATTATTGCGCTTGCAGCCAAATCTCTGGTTAGGTAGGTACGTACGAGTTGTTGAATTTGACTTGTACATTGAAAAACGGACAAGGGTAGTAGTGTTTTTCAACTTGCTTGCCAAGCGTAAATTACGGCAAATCCAATGTACTAGCGTTTGCAATCGATCTCGCCTGGTGGAAAGCGATGATCCGACCGATACTCTTAACATCTTTTTTATAATTTAACGAGGTTTAAGTTCAACATTGGACTGGACTGTGGTTGGATACTTATTTATTTTCTTTTCTTTTCTTCCTCAGGTACTGAGAAGGAGAAAGGGCAGCTCGGTGTCGGCAAGTCATGTCTCTGCAACAGATTCGTGCGCACACACGCCGATGATTACAATGTTGATCACATCTGCGTGTTGAGTCAGGTAAATAATTAGTCATTATTTGTATAATGGTTACGTTATAGGTTTGTAGTCTGAAAACTAGATAATATGAGATAGTCAGAGCTCAACACGCACTTCTTCCGCTATGAAACTAAATTGAATGTAGGTTTTATGAAAATATTATCTATACTTAATATTATAAAGCTGTTGAGTTTGTTTGCTTCTTTAAATGCGCCAAACTCCGGAACTAAATGGACAATTATTTTTGTGTTTATTAATCCATTTATCTAGAAAGGCTATTATAGGTTATAAAACATCACGCTTCTATCTGTAGGAGCCGAAAAGCGAGAGTAGCTAGTCGCTGGACAACCGAATGTGTATTCATCGTGGATTCGATTTTAAGGAAAAAATACAGCCTAAAAGATATTTGCACTTATCATAAAGAGGATACTAAACATTACCATTTACCAGTATACAGACAAGACAGTCATGATAGTAAAACCTACATATACATATATTAATTTCTTCACAAATATTGACTTCTACACATTACGGGACGACTTCGACCCCTCAAGGGTAGAAATTTGACACTTCATTACACGATGACAAGCGCCCAGTCGATTGGATAATTTAAAAAAAACTCGTTTTAAAAATATAACTACGTCTGTGTCCAAAGAGTACGGTAGTATCGAGTTTAGTTCGTTTTTTTTAACGAAATTTTACTCTTGCTCTCTTTTGAAGGTTTAGTTTTCGATATTATGTATAAACTCGTATGTCATATTAATAGTAAGTTATTGTAATTAGGATTAAGTTAATAAGTTCATATTATTTCCATATTCATTATTCCGCCGTGTATAACGTAAAACAGTTTCTTGGTTGATTTTCCTTATTAAGATCGACTACACTTTTATTACGATCAGTTAAATGATATTTTGATCTTTATATAGGCATTGTAGCTACGTCATAATTGATATCTACTTACATGTCGACACACCGATTTCCCAAATATCTTGAATCTAGCATTAGTCTTGTTTGTGGGCTCGCCGGCGTGATACAACCACCTCAAAGAAATCCGGCATGACACAACCACATTTCGCCATTTGTGTAAAGTAACCGGAGGCCCAAATCTCACCCTTACCACTGGCATTGTATTGGCATACTAGCGTCCCGGCCCTGCTTCGCATGAATGTCCAACCACCTAGTTAACTTTGGTGTCAGTCATTTGTTTTACGCTCTGCTACAGCATCGAAAGGTCTGCTATTTCCCTTCTACTTAACTAAAATTTAATTGTATTTTCTCCTGTCCAGCTGTTCACGCGTGGTGTAATAATGATCAAAGGAAATTGGGATTTTTGGGTACTAATATTTAGACATTTATTGCGACATTGTAAACATAAACTAATAACAAAACAATTATAAGCCATCATTTTATTTAAAACAACATTGCACGTTAATCTGAGCCAATCTACAAAATAATTTATTTCAAATAGACCACAGAAGGCACTTTTGAACGTCAAGCAAAAAAGAAATAAAATATTTCAAGAGGTTTAACCTTATGCGTGTCAGTGTGTCGGTCTGGCCTCTAGTGAAGCTATTTGCTCGTTCTTAAGTGTAGATTCCTATGGAGACTACCTCCCTCCTAATCTTCAAATCATCATACTCAAAAGGACGGGAACAGAATAAACGGAACTTAATTCCTCTGGTTTTTATATTACCCTTTTAGAAGCTCCATGAACCTTGACCCTTTGGGTCTTTACTTGATCTTAAAATAACTTTTATTTCTCTTCTTCTTTCAGTCTGACTTCAGCGGGCGTGTGGTGAACAACGACCACTTTCTGTACTGGGGCAGTGTTTCGAAGGAGAATGATGATCAGGAGTACCGATTCGAGATCGTCGAGCAGACCGAGTTTGTGGACGATGCGTGTTTTCAGCCGTTCAAAGGTGAGTTTCATTTTATACGAATCACCCAAATGGTCTTTCGATCGATAATATTCGTCGGACAATTCAGCAATACCCGTTAGTTTAGCTGGTTATAAACGGACACTTGCGTACTTTCCAAAGGTCCATTAAAGCTGGCGTGGTTCTGTCCTCAAAAGACCACTACAGAATGAACTGGTACGGTTCTCACATATAATTAGTGTGTCGCGGTTTCGATTCCCGCACGGAACAACTCTTTGTGTGCTCCATAAATTGTTCCGGGTCTGGGTGAGATGAGATGTGTATGTGAAATTGTATGTTTGTGTGTGAGTGTGAGGCAACGGTTTTTAAATGCATCAATGCAGTAAATTAAAAGGCCAATCTAAACAAAACCTTTTGTTTCAGTCGGTAAAACTGAAACCTACGTAAAGAGATGTGTCGCCACAAAGCTTCAGTCTGCTGAAAAATTGATGTACGTGTGTAAGAACCAGCTGGGTATAGAGAAAGAGTATGATCAGAGACTGATGCCGGATGGAAAGCTGTCTGTGGACGGTTTCCTGTGTGTCTACGATGTTAGTCTTGTGCCTGGACGAACTTGGGAGAAACAGGTGAGACAGAACCTTATATATTAAATCCTAGTGTCACAATATTTATTATATTACCTACGGCTTACACAACACATATAATTTATAGGCTAATATAAAAATACATATAAAAACCAATACAGATTAAATAGAAAACAGTTTACAATTAAACAAAATGATGTAAAATGTATTAATTGCTAATTACACGAATTTTGTATGAGTAAGACAATATTTATATTAACATCAAAATAATTAATGTGTGTCAAAGATAAAAGGATAAATAAATATTTAAAAAAGTATATAGGTCCTTCGATGAAGTTATTTGCTTGTTCCAAATTCACAGACTCAGACTTACTTTCCATCTTTTTTTCTAATTTATTTTACAGAATATACATACTTCCTTGACGATACACATTCACATGATAACCACGATCACGTTCAATAACTCCAAAAACCATAAATAACCCTATATCATTACTTTCAGAATGAGGTCCTGGCAGCGATACTCCAGAACATTATAAAGCTCAAGAAACCAGTGGTTTTGGTCACCTCCAAGAACGATGAGGCTTGTGAACAAGGAGTCAGGGAGGCGGAAAGGCTGGTGCAGCGCAAGGAGTTTAAAGGCAGCATACCCATTGTGGAGACATCCAGTCATGACAATGTGAATGTAGACCATGCCTTCTTCCTGTTAGCTCAGATGGTTGACAAGTCCAAAGCTAGGATTAAGGTAAGTTTTAATAAATATCTAGTATTCTGTCTGAAAGTGAAAAATATCGTTTTTGGGTTTGTTGGTCGACTAATAATAATAGTAGATTAATACATTTCATCAATGCGCTATTTGATAACTAGTCAATTCAATATTTTTATCGATATATCAAAAACGATACACTCGTATGGATTCTGTATGCAATACTTCCTTGTGACTTGTCATCATATTTTTGTATCAAACATAATATGCTATTTGACACAAAAATATAATTAATAAAAATGAGCTAGAAAAAAAACGAAAATGCAGCAAATCTATATATATACTAATATTATGAAGATGAAAGATTCGATTATTTGAATTAAATAAGTCAGGAATGTAGGATTTTCACCGATTTACAAAATCAATTTTGTGGAACTACACTGATGATCCCCGGTGAACAGAAACTATAAAACACGTCTGTTAAACAGTGGGTCGTTTCGTCAAATAAATGAATGAATATGGTTATTTTTTTTTATTTTTCATAGAATTGTAAAGTTGGCATAAAATAATATGACAATAATAATTTGAACTCAGAAAAATACTCAATTCACCGTATTAATAAGCTATTTTTCTCTTCTTAGGTGGCTAACTATGCAGAGGCTCTACGGATAAGAAGAGAAACGCTAGACTTTGTCACTGAAGCCTTCACCCAGCTCATTAGGATGCATGTGCAAGATCATAAGTAAGTGATTGCTAAGGTTTTAAGCAACCTTATTGTCTTTGTGTTAAGGTCGAGCTTTCTATAGCAGTTGTTTATACATTTATTACAAGACTAAGAATAAAAAATATAAGATGACTCGGCAAATTTACTCTCTGCCTCAAATTAACTAATGTTTTCTGACCTTTTAAACCAACCTGCCTCATCATAGTCAATGAATACATTTTAAAGCTTTCCAGGGCTATTGCAAATGTTTCAATATCAAAATGAACCAAATCGGTTCAGCCATTCTCGAGTTTTAGCGAGACTAACGAACATCTATTTATTTTTATATAGTACATAATATTAATATTTGTTGTTATTCATAGGGAGATGTGGTCGGCAGCTAGCAAGAGATTGTGTCACTACCCAGAATGGGTCAAGTTTGTCCAGCAGTTTGGAAACGATGGGACGCAAGTAAGTAGTTTTTGTAACACTATGGTCTATCGGTTTAGGCGGTTTTTTTGTTATAGGTCGACAAACCTAGACGAATTACCTAATGGTAAGCAACCAGCGCCGCCAATGAACACCCACAACACCAAAGAAGTTACGAGTGAGTTGCCGGCCTTTTGTGGATTAGTGATTTGGAGATGTAGGGATTAGGGAAGGATTGGGCCTCCGGTAACCTCACTCCTACGGCGAAACACAACGCTGTGGTTGTTTCACGGTGATTTTCTGTAAGCCGTGGTGTCACTCCGGTCGAGCCGAAGCTTGGCTCTCCCACAATTACAGTAATTTTTATAAGACTACCTTACTTTATTAAGGGTCATAGCTCTTTAGAGTCACCCGGCACCCAATCCGCACCGCCTCGTAGCACGACGTACACTCGTTGTCGGCAGTACGCAGAGATAATGGGAACATCAAATAACATCGGTTCCATATTCACCAATATCTTAATGAATGCTTTTATAGAATCTGAATAGAATATTTAAAAAGGTTGAACTATATAAAAATTTACGAATAGTAAATTTCGTGAGACATACTAAATTTATTGTAAGAACTTACTCCCGTGAATTAACTGACCACACTGACACACAACATGAGCATGTATAAGAGTCCCGTTGTGACTTGAAAGTAGTAAAGCTTTTTTGATTCACGTCGGTAAGTCGTTATCTATAATATAAAAATGAATCGCGAAATGTGTTGGTAAGCGCTGGACGACGAACGACTGGACCAATTTTGCTGATTCTTTTTTTGTAATTTCATTACTTTTATGTGAAGGTTCTTACGAATTTACTATCCTTTCGGTGCTGTGGCCGTTTGCAAAAAAACAAATGACTGACGGGGTAGTCGGATACCTACCCGAGCGAAGCAGGGTCGGTCCGCTAGTTTTGAATAAATGTATATAACGGTTTCTGATGTTGTTTTGGAAATAATAATGTTTTCTGCTTAGGTCGTATTCCGTCGTCATATTCGAAGACTGAAGGAGGAGCGTTCAGCTAAGAAACTCCGCAAGCAGCTTGCCAAGCTGCCACAAATACTGTCCCGTATGCAGCTACCCACTGAAGACTTGCAGGAGAAGTAAGTGGATTAATGTACTTTTTTTATGGGATAGTTCGGCAGAGCAGACGGATTACCTAATGGTAAGCAATGGGCGCCGCCCATGGACACCCGCAGCACCAAAGGAGTTACGAGTACGTTGCCGACCTTTTGGGGATAAGTTCCAGATATTTAAGGATTGGAAAGGTGTGGGAGCTTTATGGAGGTTACTTAACTCACACGGCGAAATACAACGCTGTGTGAGGCCGTGGTATCACGCCGGTCGAGCTGATCCATTCGTACCGAAGCTTGACTCTCCCACACTATACGTAATAAATATGAACTATAACATTTGCTTTATAGCGATTGGCCGATGGTGGTTCGTCAGCTCCGCAGTCACCGCGACTTCTCGGTGTACTTCAGCGAGGGTCGACACCAGGACTCCGGTTCCGAGTCAGGGTCGGAGCTCGACAGTCCACTCGCTATTGACACCACCCTCCGGGTTGGAGAACGAGCTCGATACCAGGTTAGTGTTTTTAGATCATGGAGAATGTCTCAATGGTGTTGGACTGCGAAGTTCAAACAGTAAAACGGGGTGAATAGAATTCGCACATTCACCCCGTTTTACGGTAGCTTGGAAAACTAAGGCGTCGTCGTAAGGCGTCGTGGATTGGAAATCAATACGGTACGATTAAATTTGTTCAAGGTGGTCTTGATCTGCGGATATCTGAAATAAGTGCTAGTAAACCTAAACACGGTCCAGAAGAACCAGTTTTGTTAAAAATTATGACATTACCTTGCTCCCTACATCATCCATCCATCAACCATTTTATTTTTGTTACCAGACCCTGGGCCAGTCGCAGAAGATTCCTTACGAGATTCTAGAGTCGAACGAGGCGGCTGCTGTCTTCAAGACGTTCTTGCATGAAGCGCAAGAGGAACATCGGAACTATGAGTGAGTTTTAGTTTGATTGGATTTAAATTAGCATAAAATAGTATCATTTAAAACCTACACTACCTACACTACACGACCTAGTTACATACCTACAATTTTCACGCTACACTATCTGTCCTACCTATCTACCTACCCCACCCTACTTATCCTACTTCTACACTACCTACCCTACAGTACCTATTCTACACTACCTACCCCACCCTACTTAAACTATTTACCCTACTCTACCTAAACTACCTACGCTACCTTTCCTACCCTACCCTATCCTATGACCTTCTCCCAGTTGTTAGCTACCTCCCTACCAATTTTCAGCCAAATCCATTCCGTCTTTGCCAAAGACTGCACTCGGTGCGGTGGCTGAGCAACTGTCTACCGTGCAACGTGTCGCGGGTTCGATTCTCGCACTAAACAGCTCTTTGTGTGATCCACAATTTATTGTTTTTCCGGGTCTGTGTGTGATGTGTATGTGAAATTTTATGTTTGTAACCGCACCCACGACACAGGAGGAAACCCTTGTGCCCCACACTAGGATTCTCTCAACGTTTTTTAAGAAAAGAAAATCTCTATCTCTAACTATTATGTTCCCTGCAGATGGTGTCAACAGTTCAAGCGTCTCCTAGAAGAGACAGGTTACGTGACCCCCGGCAAGCAGTTGTCGGAAGTTCGCGTGTTGCTGATGGGTCGCGAGTGCTACGAGGCACTGGCCGAGGACCAGCAGCAGAGGGTCTACGACCAGCATCAACGCCAGATACAGCGGCGCGCTAAGGATAACTTCCAGGTACTGTTCAACTAAATACTAATGAGCTGACAGACTATAATAATATTCTGTTTCGACGTTTCAAAAGTACCTGTTTATCGGTTGAGTTGGAATAGATGATTTTGCCTTTGACTTTGACAAAGTCAATTCCCGCTGGCTCCAGAGTCTTCAGAATTTAAATGTTCTTGTGACTTACCTCTTAGTGTAACCCCGACGCCCACTCTTAGCTTTGGACTCATAGAGTCGAACTCCATTAATAAAACTGTTTCTGCTTTGTCATGTAAATATTCACATAACTGCTGTCTATTTTGGTGCGAGGTCACGCTTGATAAAGTTTTTTTAATACAACAATATTTTTAAGTATTTATGATATTTAACATTTTAATCATTATTTTTAGGAACTGCTCCTGGAACACGCAGACTTGTTCTACCACTTCAAGAGCATATCTCCAACTGGGACGATCACGCAGGAAGACATCAAGGAGATCACTGACGTACTACAGGACGATTTCAGGTAAAAATATACTAATATTAAGAACAAAAAGTATCAATATATGTATATATAGTTATAGTTACAAAAACAAATATATGTATATATAGTTATATATACAAAAACAAATATATGTATATATAGTTATATATACAAAAACAAATATATGTATATATAGTTATATATACATATATTGATAATTTTTGTAATGATAATGTTTGTAATTATCAGTTGATAATTATGTAAAATGTTGTGAACGTTTTGACAAAAATGTTCTCCAAAAACGCTACGTCGCCGCCCAGCGTATGTTTTTTATAAATAAAAGTTCCGATATGACTTGAAACTTGTGGCACTTTTCACGAATCATTCACGTGAATAAGCTGTTTTTTTTAAAAACTATTAAAATGCCCATTTTTGTTATACTAGTCTCAATCATACTCATTATGCATATTTGTTACTGTTTCACAGGGACACGAAAAGTCTAGAGTCTGGAATAACTCATATATAACACATATCTTTTATGCTGTTACTGCGAGAGAAATTGCTGGCAGAATCTTATTTGTAATATTTAAATATCAATCTGGGTATAGGTACAAGATGCTGGACCGCATGGAGCAGGACCGCAAGTTGATGTTGTTCCAGCACCTGGGGTTCGTGCACTGCCCCATGCGGGAGCACTGCCCCGCCGGGGCCAACTGTCTCGACGCCACGCTGCCCGTCATACTCAATACCAGGGTTGGGTAAGTACTTAGCAAAGGTCTCTTCTCACACAGAGATGGTTTCAGCATGAATACCACGCTTGCTCAAGGCGTATTGGCGATTACAAACTTATAATTCGAAATTAGAAATCCAGGTTTTTTCAGAAATAAGTATACTATTTTATGTATAAACATTATAATGTCATTTGTTGCAATTTCATATGGGTTTCACAGAAAAGTATTATATCATGCTGTAACCTCTTGACCTTGCAAGTTAATTATAGCTGAAATTTATTGTATGCATCTAGAAGGAATAGCTTTAATCAAAGCTCATATGCTGAATCGCGATAAGTATAGCCATCCATTATAATTATGATATAATTTCCATCAGATCATTGACATCGACGGGAGAGTCTCAGTGCCACGCTGGCCCACCGGCCGCGCCATGGGCGCTAACCACAGACTCCAACCAGATCAACGTCATCATACTGGGCGTAAGTAGTTTATACTGACATTTAACATTCTTGATACGAACTTCGAACCTTCAAGAAACGACCGTACCCCTCTTAAAACACCTGGATCGGCGTACCTGGTGTACCTGACATCTCTGGGCGGCGCCGATCACTTAATATCAGGTGAATTATCTGCTCGTTTGCCTCCCTATTCCAAAACAAAAACAAAAATATGTAAAAAAGATTTTAATTGCAACAAAGGTCTGCTTAATTTATATACTGCATAGTGCGAATCTGCCTTATTTTATCAGCCTTCTGATTATTTATTTAACTTTGAGAAGGCTAATCGCAGCGTCGAACGTTATAAACGTCTTGCTGGCATTATTGTAAACTCCGACTAGGTTCGATCCAAATTACTAACCCCTAAAAAGCCAGCAACTCACTGCTACCGTAAGCGCGGGTCTGCGGACGGCAAGCAAAGGTAGCTCGCCGCCCGACCAGAACCGCGCGAAAGTTCCGCGCGCACCTCAAAGAGCCAATAGACCACAACAGACGGAGCCCAAGAGCCGAACAGGGCCGATATTCAGCTGGGGTTGCAGGGCAATAAGGTACTGCAACCTCGGCGTTGAGCAGGAGAAGAAACAGGGGGTTTTAGTCAGAAAGGGTCTGACATTCCTTCGGCTCACACTGGGTGGAAGAAGTCTAGTCCAGATCTCCTGTTTTTACTCTCAATTCCATAAAGACATTACTTTTATCTTTCCCACAGGTGGAAGGTATAGCTGGTGAATTTGGCAAGCGGTTATTGGCCGGCTGTGATGCGGAGAGACGAGTCAACGTTGCCGGCCATAGCTGGCGCGTCGAACAACGGGTCAGGACTGATGACTTCAGCGCTGAGACCACCTGCATCGATGACTTCGCTCCAAATGGTAGGCTATATAATGTACCAGGTTTCCTGTTTGGTCTAGGTCCCATTATATATGTAATATGCGAACAGAATAGTTTACAGCATAAAGTTTAGGTGAATCCATCGTTTACTCAGAGATAATCAAAAGTTTTGTTTTCTTTTTATCAATTTTATAATATTTGTCATTGTTATTAATATAGTATTGTTATTTTAATGACGATAATTCGTAATTTTAGTAATATTTTTTTCACATACCATTTTGACTTTTGTAACAATATCATGTATTGATTAATATTATTTACGGTTTAGGCACCATCTCTGCCCACTAATTTGTACACGTACGTGTACAAAGTCTGCGGCTGAACATATCATCTGAACTTTTTTGTTTCTCATATTACATGCAAGATGCATGTAATTTAAACTATGCTTAAAAAATAAAAATATCTTATCTTTGTTCTAAATGTATTACTTGAAATGTGTATATATTTGTTATATTATGTATAGATAGATGAAATAAATGTAATCCGAAAATAGAAACTCACACTATTTTTAAGTCGGTGGAAAAGGAGCTTTGACATACCCACGTGTTATTTTTACCAGCCTCGTTCTCGACCTGGAGCAGTAGAAGAAAAGGGGTGGTTTTAAGTTAGTAAGAGTCTAATACTTCCTCTCGATCCACCTGTAAAGTAAACTCAAAAGCATACTTACATAAATTTCGGGGCCGGACCGGACTAGAAGCAGCTAAGAGCTGATAGAAGGAGTGTAACTATAGCTTTCATCGTTGTTCACAGGATATTTCTGCGTATACCAAGATCAGGAATCGTTCGAGTACATAAGAGGATGCGCCGAAAAGACGCTGCTATCGAGCTTAGAACAAGAGGACAAGTTGCCGTTTCAGGTAACAATACCTACATCTTAAATCACGGTATTTAGTTATATGAAAACTAGCATCCATTATATCTATAACATAAAATTTGGGAGGGCCATGCCAGACCGGAGTAAGACCACGGCCTCACAGAAAACCGGCGTCAAACAACCTTAACGTTGTGTTTCTCCTTGTGAGTGAGGTTACCCAATCCTTGCCGTCCCGCCATACTTCCCTAATCCTTGAATCTACAAAACCCCTTATCGCGTATTGTGGGTGTCTATGGGCGGTGTTGATCGCTTATCATTAGGAAATCCGTGTGCTCGTTTGCCGCACGATATAAAAAAACACGGTTTTATGGGGACTACCATTTTTTGTTCACCAAATCGGACCAGTGTGAACATCTCGTATTTTCGTCCAATCGGGAATTAGTTAGCTCCCGTGTTTGGACAACATTATCTCTCTTGTTCTCAATCCAATAAAAAATCAGCTAAGTATTACACTGTTGAACGTTTAACTTTTGGCAGCTCCAGTGATTGGAGAACATTACCTTGATAGATTAACACCATAATAGTGTTAAAACATTGGGGATATATCTTCCATTAAGAAGGTTGTAGGATGCAAAAAAAGAGATTTGACAAAATATGTTTTGTTTTAGGGTTTGCCTTTAGTTGTGATGTTCGTTCAAGATGAAGGTCTGGATAAGAAGGAGCTCACAAGATTGCAAGAGGAAGGCCAGAATCTGGCAGACAAGTAAGTATTATAGTGATTTCTTGATTATGCTCTATATCACATTTATTTTATTTGGTATAACAGATATAGTTAAGGTACCCATCGTCAGAAAATCTGGACTTTTATTTGATTGACACTTGACAGAGTGGCTGGGCTACTGGCTGTCATGCAATGTGTCGCGGATTCGATTCCCCTACAGGACAGCTTTTTGTGAGATCCACAAATGTTTGTTATTTGTGAAATTTAATGTTATGTTTGTAAATGCACCCACAACACATGAGCAAATCAAAGTTTGGGGTAAAGTTCTTTTTATAAGAAAAAAGAAAAGTAGACTTGATGTAATATTTATTGACTTACATTTTACTTACACCTGCTTTTGTTTCTAGTCTTCATTGTTCGTACATGGAAGCGTCAGTGAACGAGCTGGGAACTGAAGCGCTTACTTCAGACGCTGTGCAAGAACTAGTCAGAGCCAATAGAGAGAAGGCGAGCTACGCGCATCTATACAGGGATGTCATTGTCTGCTTCGATTCTGATATCAGGTGAGTGAGATAGTCTATTGGACAAGATCAATGAAATCATTTATTTCAAGAATGTCAAAAAAGATATTTTTCTATGAAATTTATATGAAAAACTGAGTTATGACGTGATGTATTTTTGCGTCAAATAGCTTACTTATTTCTTAATAATTAGCTAAAAATATCACACACATAACCTAGAGTATCGATGGATTGATGGATAAAAATATAGTTAGTTTTGAATATTTTATTGTATTGAAACGTAATGATGGTCTATCGACTCCAGGATAATGGTATGCATGTTCTGCGACGACCCATACTCCCCGGAGCGCGTACTGAGCCCGCTCCTGCTGCACCGCGCCTGCTTCCTCACCGGGGACCGTTCCATTGTCATCGAGACCTTCCTCGGGGACTCCAAGCGGAAAGTTGAGGTCAGATCATTATGTTTTACTTAGGAAAATATGTATTATCACATAGTTCTCTTCATGCTGCACATACCGTACTCTCTGTATCACCCCAAGGTTTACTAGTAAGAATACCTACGGCATAAAGTTCGCCTATGTAATGTTTTGTTGCATAAAGTTTAAATAAATAAATAGAAATATATTAACACTCGTAGATAAATTTTAATAAGTACCTAAATGTCTTTCGGATAAAAAAAAATTGTCGCCAAGGACCGCTTTGGACTGATCATAGTTACAAAAAAATAAGCAGTAACATTCTGATGTGTGCTTATGATATCTGAGAGACGTCTAAGGCCCGCGAAGCCGTCGTCAGGCGTCCCAGCTCAGCCGCACGGATAAACAACGAAAGTGGACGCCGGTCCTGAATAGTATTTAATAGACAAAATATTACCACAAAGCACAAAGTCTCATTGGAAACCAAATGGCAAATTTGTAATTTTACATCGCACAACTCTTTGGAGCTATGCGTCATTTGTTTTTCTTTGACGGTGGAAAATTACCAATTGGTTTCTCTCGCTCTGTGTGTGGCGAGATTGAGTGTCAGTCTCTTACTGACTAAATACCACACCATTTCTTCTCCTGTTCTGAGCTGGGACACGTTACATCAATGTGGTTCACTATCCCGGTTATTTATTCGTGTGCACTAATCGTTACTTCCCTATTTTGAGAGGTTAAGGCGGACCTATTCATTATATTGTTATTGGTTATCCATTTCTAACATTATATGTATTTTACAGGTTATAATATCAAGTTTCCACGGTGCGAGTCAGTTCAGAGAGGAATTGATCCACGGATTCATTCTCATCTACTCAGCTAAGAGGAAAGCTAGTTTGGCTACTTTGAAGTAAGTTTTATTTTAGCATCAGCATTTTTTTATTTATGTAATAGGATGATAAACTGGCTTAAGGATTACCTGATGGTAAGCAATTGGCGCCGCCCATGGGCAGCAGAGAAGTCACGAGTGCCTTTTTGGGATTAGGGTTTCGGAGATTCCCTTAGAATGAGGAAGGGAAAGTAGGATTGGGCCTCGGGTAACCTTATTGACACTGCGAAACACAACGCAATGGTTGTTTTACGCCGGTTTTCTGTAAAGCATTGGTATTAGTCCGGTCGAGCTGATCCATTTGTAGCATGGCTCTCCTACACTTAGCATTATGGAGTTAACACATTTTTTATAGAAATGCATTTTGAAGAGTGTTTTTCTATGTCTATAATAATATTATAAAGAGGTAAAATTTGTAAGTTTCTAAGTTTGTATGTTTGGAAGTCTGTAAGTCTGTATGTAGGGGGTACTCTTTGGAATCGCTGGTCGGATTGCCAAAATTCTTTCTCTGATAGATAGCTACAATGTTCCTGAGTGCTATAGGCTATAAAACATCACGCTATGATTAAATGGAGCCAAGCAGCGGGTGAAACCGCGCGAGAGTAGCTAGTTTATTGATAGATATATAGTTATATGTTTTTTATTTACACCCTATAATAGGGCGTTGTTTTGGTTAAATTAAAATAAATGTTTTGAAATTGACTCATATGAAGACGTAATGTTTACAAACTACAAACAATGAGTATTAGCAGAAAGACATTTTTATTTTTATCTGAACAACATCTAGGCACCGTTAACTAACGCACAGAATGCGTAATACAAGTAACTTAGCCGTAAACGATTCGTTCTGCTTACAAAAATACATGTTAAAGTTTTCATTTTTTATATGAAATTGTGTTTGTAGCTTTGGATACAGTGTAAGGTTTTAGTTGACATAAAACTTGTTATTATTATTCTTAACTTTTTTACACCTGATATTCTTTTGTGTTTTATATTTTTCCACTAAAAAGGTTACAAATAAAATATTCAGAACCTTTGTATCTTTATTATGTAATGTGTTTTCCTATGTGATGTATACTGAGTGTTTATGATTAATAATAATTATAATAAATAAATATCTTGAATTACAGTGCTTTCTCAATGAACATCCCGAACTTGCCGATACAAATGGTGGCAGTAACGGACGGAGGCGGTTCCGCCAGTACATTCTTCGGCACGGATTTGGGCCACGCACTCATCACTGAAGGGAACGCTACCGCAGACAGACTCGCTGCACACTTCACTACGTACACATCTAGTGCTGAAAATAAATGTAAGTGATATTCTAGATCTAGGTGGATACAATAGATGCCCTACGTCTTGATGTCTGCAGGTTAAGACGCTCCAGCCGGGGTTGCGGGGTAAGCGCAATGAGGCACCGCGACCTCGGCCCAGAGCAGGAGAAGGAACAGGGGGGGTTTTAGTTAGTAAGAGTCTGACACTCCCTCCCGCCCGGCCCTGGGCGGGGGAAGTCATTTGATGATTTTCCCCTCACAAAAAAAAGGTTAAGACGCTCGCTTCTCATACGTGAGGGTTCGAAAGATGGCAAGTATTAATGTGACTTTTTCCGAGTTATATGTTCTTTTTAACCGACTTCAAAAAAAGGAGGAGGTTCTCAATTCGATTGTATTTTTTTTTTTTTTTTTTTTTTATTTTTTTTTTTTATGTTTGTTACCTCAGAACTCCGTCGTTTATGGACGGATTTGCAAAATTTTTTTTATGATTGAAAGGATATGCTTCCAGATTGGTCCCATTCTTTTCAAAATCAAGTTTTGATGATGGGATCCATGAGAAATCGAGGGAACTCCTCAAATATTATAGGCAACTATATAGTAATTTTAATATTTTCATAGAGCACTCAAGCATTTACAGTCAAAAAGTAATGTTTGATGAGGTGGAACTGGTGAAGAAGATCAGAAATGGATGATGAAACTTGACACTCGCATAGATATCACAATCAAGGTAGTTCAGCAACTATGAAAATGCACTGTAAACCAATGATCTTAAATAATTATGTTGGAAATGTTATCATCGAACTGATTTAATGATGATTATGGAGCTGGAAGGTAGGCACTGGAACTGCGTACCTAATTAATATATCCTAGCCGTGTTTGGGCTTGTTAGAATTGTTATAAGATGCACTTTGGCTGTAAGGTACTATTGAACTGATGTGATGATGAAGCTGGAAGGTTGGCATGGGGCCTAGTATTGTGTAAGCTTATTAGAGCTGTCAAGAGCAATGGAAAGGGCTATGCTCATAGTTTCCGTGCATGTTCGAATCAGAAATGAAGAAATCCGCAGAAGAACCAGCGTCACCGACATAGCCCGAAGAAATGCCAAACTTAAGTGACAGTGGGCACGGCACATTGCTCGTAGAACAGATGGCCGATGGGGCCGAAAGGTTCTAGAGCGGGACCGCACACCTTTGGGGGCGGAGTTTGGCCTAGTATTGGCTATTTTGCATTAGTCCACGTGGACTGCGTTTACACATTAGTGGTGAAATGCGTCATTGTGTTCTTATCGTTTTCCTGGTAATAGGCTAAGAGAATTAATTGGCATTTTTAACAAAACAGTCGTTTTAAATGGGTTACAAAACAATAATTGCGTCGTACAAAACAATAATTGTGTTTCTTTTGTGTGCACATATGTAGATAATACTTACTTAAAAAAGGTTCATACATTGAATGAGTCATAAATGTATATTTACAATAGCGATGGTCTTTTATATTTTTACCAACTTGTCTATATATGAATGTTCTTAGTAATAACAAAATAGTATTCTTCATTTAATGGGTTACAATTGATACAAAACAATAATTGCATTGGTCTTTTTTCTATGTACGAATGTATTTAATCATAGATACTAAATTAGATTGCATTTGGTATCTTTGAACTTTATCTGTCTGTTGATGAAAATATCTAGTTTTTTGTTATTTGGCGAGAACTAATATGAATTTATGATAAGATTATTATTTTATTTTAACTATAAGTCATAAGTATCTCATGCATCATATCATCTCTCCTCGAGATCAAAACGATTACACAGTAACAATGTACTATGATATGTATTTCTACGTATAAGTATGACATTGGTAACTTTTTCAAAAGAAATGTAGGAACGATATTGACTTCTTTGCCATAACACATTATAATAAAAAAAAAAACACTAAACGGCTACAAATAAAAAAAAATTTTACAAAATAAAAAAACCGCCTTCAAAAAAAGTCAAGCAATAAAAGTTCCTACACTAAAAAGTAAAAAATAACAATTTGAATTACTGTAAAAAAACTTAATTTATAGGTAAACTTATTTGACATTAATATTTTGCAAATATTCAAAATTTATTACTTATTTTTGGAGTCGGTGCCAGCCCATGCAAGGAAATACAAATGGGCAACAATCCCTTGAAAAACTACCTCTTACTTAATTATAAAACTACTTAATACCTATTTGCATACTCAAATATAGGTATATTAATTAAGACATAAATACAGATTAGACTTCTCTACAAAAAATGTCCGATTTGCACATTTTTTTAAATAAAAAATATGTACTTACAAAAACATTTTAAGTACATTGAAAATGTTTAAGCATTATGTACGAAAAATGGCACCGGATATTAAAAACCTAACTAACATTAAGTTTCAACATCAAAATGCTGGCACCGACTCCAAAAATAAGTAATAAATTTTGAATATTTGCAAAATATTAATGTCAAATAAGTTTACCTATAAATTAAGTTTTTTTACAGTAATTCAAATTGTTATTTTTTACTTTTTAGTGTAGGAACTTTTATTGCTTGACTTTTTTTGAAGGCGGTTTTTTTATTTTGTTATGAATATTTTCTAAGGAAAACATCGTAAGGAAACCTGTATTTATGATTTGTTATTATGATTTTGAAATCGACAATCCGTCTTGAGCAAGCGTGGTGATTAATCCTCAAACCTCCTCCGTGTGATTAATGCTCAAACCTCCTCCGTGTGAGAAGAGGCTTTTGCTTAGCAGTGTATACTTATAGGCTGATGATGATGATGGTGGCAGTATCTTATATATATATATATATACTCTTGAATTTTAAAATGTCGGCAAATAGCATAAATATTAAGCGAGCTGTTGTCCTTGTTCCAGCGGCGTTCTACACGCCGTTCTTCAAGGAGGTGTGGGAGCGGAAGGGCGAGATCGAGCGCGCCTTCCGCATGGAGCAGCCCCACAACCTGCCCGACGTCGCCGCCGCGCGCCCCGCCCCGCCGCCAAGAAACCATTCCTACCATCTCAACCATATGTACGTAATCCGGTACCAGTTCCACCCAGCTATACTACGCTGTTTCTTTAAGAAACCTTAACATTGAGCTAACAGGTCCTTACATACTAATAATATTAAATTTTATTGAAAAAAAAAACTGACAGCCGCGCAACGTGTCGTGTCTTCGATTCCCGCACGGAACAACTCTGTGTTATCCAAAAATTGTTGTTCCGGGTCTGGGTGTGATATGTATGTGAAATTGTATGTTGTATACGCACTACAACACAAGAGAGGATCCTAGTGTCAGGCAATGTTTTTTAAGCGAAAAGAAAAGTAAAAATATATACAGCTAGCTCAATGGGCATTGAACAATTTTTTCGACCCTCATTTTTTATTTAAGATTTCGATAATATAGAGCATTCTAAGAAACTAATTTGAATAATTATTATTTTTATGGAGTCGTTCTATTTTTATAAATTATTTAAAATTAGGAGTAACTTTCTTACGGTGACGTCATCATTTGGCTGTATAATTCACGTATCTGTGGCCTTTCAATTAAAAAATTTCTTTGACGTTAGAGAAATGTCAATAGGTTGTCAATCTGTTCATTAGTGTCATACAGTACAGTAAACAATAAACTTCTTTCAAATAAATACCACGCTATCATTCATCTTGTTTGTAAATCATTTTATAAACTTTCTGTTTTTTACGAACGGTTTACCATGACTGACAACTTCGTGAAAGCTGACTATTTTTTGAGTCATTTTTACATGTCGGAATGAAGCACTTCCTATATTCCATAGTTTTTTGGTGGTAATTTCGCTAGACGCTAAATAGAATAATCGAATGTTTTTAGAGGTTATGTTTATTGTTTATATATCTTGACACTTTTGACAGTTGTAAACTGTCGTGTAAGTGTGTGTGAGCGTGTGTATTATATTTGATGGCAAAGGAATTCTCCCTTTAGAGCCAAACGATGACGTCACTAGAGGTCAAATAAAGGTTATTTACTTTTAGCGATAAATAACAATAATCCGTGAATATTTTACTATTTTAAACGCTAAATTGTCATGAGTGACCCTATTCCTCGAAAAGGATTTCATATTTACTCATTAAAAAAAAATGAACAATCCCCATTGACTTAGTTATTATAATAATATAAATTTGTACCTAATTACATTTATAAGTGACAGTTAACTTAATCTAAATTTTTATTTATACTATAGAAACTCCCTAATTACTCTATTATTACACCTTAGCTACTTATTTAATCAAGTTTCATCCAACTCAACACTTCTAGTAATAAAATTATGATTAATATACTCCTACAGGCGTGAGCACAAATTAACCAACTCGTTGGACCTCCTCATCGGCCCCGACTCCCGCGCAGACATCGACTCGGAGTACAGCGACACACTCAACAACTCTAAGAATAGAGGATTCCTGAAAGGTAAGCAATCCTATTTTGAAATAAAGCGGCTCAGTGTGTTGTATGAAAGCTTCCTCAGGGACTCCAAGCGGAAAGTTGAGGTCAGATTATTGTGTTTTTCAATACTTAGATAAAAGATACCTGGGGAATACGGTAGTTTCCAACTAGTCAAATTCAATACTTTTATCCGAACGTCAAAAACGATACTTTTCTATGAAAAACTGAGTTATGACGTCATAACATTTTTGCGTCAACTAGCTTACTTTTTTTCTTAATAATGCTAAAAAACATCTAAAACTTAGTGTATCGATCGATCGATGAATAAAAATGTAGTTATTTTTCAATATTTTATTGTATTGAAACGTCAAATTAATTTATTTTTGACCTAGGAAACTACCCAATTATTTTTGTACAGTATGAACACAGATCTTTTTCATTTTGTATCTATGTAAGTATAAATAAATAAATAATTGATGGTGATGATTGGTTTTTGTTTAGGTTTCAGCGTATACCCTCCGCCTAGCACGCCTCCGGAACCAGCACCACCGGATCACAGAATGCACGCAGATTTATCACGTAAGTTATATTCAATATTTTTATTACTTATTCTATTTAATGTAGAATCTAAACTTATATTATGATGGTTGGGCAACACTTAATTAATATGGGAATTTCGTATATGTTGTATCGTTTTTAAGGTTCAAATTGAGTTAGTAATGAAACTGGTTTAGGTATGATGTTTGTCCTATTTTAATACACGGTCGATGCAATACTTGTCAATTTGTCAATGATATTGGATTTAATGATAATTATCACTGTTTTTAAGGTCAAAATTAATAAGATTTGTAATGATTTACCTCTTTATATGTAACACTAGATTTATTCGAATATTTTCGTTTTTAATACGATAATTGATTAGATTTTGGATGTAGCTCTGATGCGAATGCGTGTTTAGTATGTTTTGGATGACAAATAAGTCGTTTAAGTTAAATGGTAAGTTATAAGTAACATTCACAACAAGCAGGTTTATACAGATGGTCCATATCCAGGTTTCTTCTTTCACATTAGTTCATTTTTAGGAACTTTTTAATCAAATAAAAGTACGTTTTTAGTCAGTAAGAGCTCTGAATTTGACACTCCCTCTCGCCCTACCCAGGACTATCTATACTCGAAATTTTAATTAGATTCCAGATTTGAAAAGTATAGTTTTTGACATTCGGATAAAAGTATTGAATTTGACTAGTTGGAAACTACCGCCCGTACCGAATCAGTTTTATTACACTTTTCCAAATAATTACGTTAGTGTTGCCCTATCGTCTTAGTATAAGTGTTGCCAACATATAAATTTAATTTTACGAATTGAAATAAAAAGAAAGTATAATGTTATAATGCAGCGGACCTCAACTGTTCGGAGGATTCCCTCAGCACCCATGAGTCAGGTGATTGCATGACACACGATTGTAGATCTTATTCGATATAACGGACGGTATTATTTTGTGTGTACTTAGATGTAGATATTTATTATGTAACTAAGGTTTTTAGAATTTTGATCTTTTTGGTTTTTGTGGTTGATTTTAATGTGTTATAATTGTGACTAACTTGTTAGTTGAAGCATCGATGGCGCGGGTGTCGAGATAGGTGAAGTAGGCTTGATTTCAAAGTCGACCAAATTAATGGTTGTTCTAAACTTCACACCACCAAAATAATAAACCTAAATAATTTGTTTATTTGAATTCGCTAATTTCCGGAACGCATTCGGAAGCATCCGGAGAGATGGGCCACCATTGTCACCCAGTGGACCTCAGAATGGAGGCTGCAGGCGGGGTAGGCACCGGAAAAGATGGCGTGATCTAGACGCTTACGTCGAGACTGGTGGACACGGTCGAAGGATCGGGAGGTGTGGAAGCGAGATGGGGACGCTTTTGCATAGCAGTGGGACATTTCAGACTATTAAAATTGAACAATACTTTTTGAGGGTAGTCCATTTATCTAGGAGCGATATATGCTGCAAAACATCATGCCACGGTCAATATAATAAAATTTTCATATCTGCTTACAAGTTGAGGATAAACATACATTTGCGGTGAATGCATGTTTATGCATATTTATACTTTAATGAATATTTAATCCATCAAACCCCAAGCGAACGCCGGCGTTTGCTCACCTTATGTGTCTCGAATTACCCCGAATGAAAGGTTAAAAACAACCACACCTTTAGTTAAATAAGGAATGCGTTATTATTTATTTTGCATGGTAATCTTTTATAGAAATTGTGTCAGTTTATTTCGTAGATAGTCTTTTAAAAAAATGTTGTGTTAAAAATACTTTATCGTTTAATTAATTATGTTTTTTTTTTTCTTTTATTGTAATGTTTATTTGTTTTTGTAAATAGAATAAAAATTATAATTTGTGGTTATAACGTCAGTCAACCAGCTCATTTAGAATGTAGGTACAAAATAATGGAGATTGATTCTGTACAGAGAAATTATCCATTGGTTGGTTATTGAATTAAGCAATGGTTATAAAAATATGGCTTCGTTAAAAGTTTATTTTAAATGTGGGAGAGCTGTGCTTCGTTCGAATGGGTCTGCTCGACCGGAGTGATGACATGGCCTCACAGAAAACCGACATGAAACAACCACAGCGATGTGTTTCGCCGTGTGAGTGAGATGGCAGGAGACCCAATAGTTTTCTCCCTGTACTCAATTTCCAAATCTGCCCATCTTTAAATCGCAAAAAATCAACGAAAGGCCGGGAGGGCACTCGTAGCAATTCCTTTGGTATTACAAGTGTCTATGGGCGGTGTCGATTGCTGACCATCAGGTAACCAGTCCGCTCGTCTTATAAAAAAACTACTTATCCCTAAAAGATCGTCAATGTATTTGCAACTCCCCTAGTTTTGCGAGTGTTTATAGGCGAAGCCGATTGCTTACTATCAAGTAATCGTTGTGGTCGTTTGCTGCCACATCACATAAAAAGTAGTAATAACAATGGCCACGTTTATTAAAAACTAAAAGAAAATCAAGTGTGGGAGAACCATGCTTCGGTACGAATGGGTCGGCTCGACCGAAGTGATACGACGGCCTCACAGAAAACCGGCGTGAAACAACCATACCGTTGTGTTTCGCCGTGTGAGTGAGGTTACCGGAGGCCCAATCCTTCCCCACCCCCAATCCCTTCTCAATCCCTAAATCTCCAAATCCCTAACCCTTTAAAGGTCGACAACGCACCCGTAACTCCTCCGCGTCCGTAGTTATTAGCGCCGCCCATGGACACCCCCATGGGCGGCGCTAATAACTTTCACCAGGTAATCCGTCTGCTCTTTTGCCGATCTATTACATAAAAAAAACCCGCTGCTCAGCTACATTTGATCGTAGCGTGCTGTTTATAGTCAGAATTTTGGTAATCCGGCCAGCGGTTCCAAAAATTACCCCCTGCATACAAACATACTAATTTTACCTCTTTATAATATTAGTTTAGATAACGAATTACTCACGTGAATGAACTGAGAAAAGCTTTACTAGTTTCAAATCAAATCGGGACTCTGATTCGTTGGCCGCGCAAGCTCGAGTCGTAGAGTGACACGCACGCTGCTCATGAGTAAGAACTCCCGTTGTGACTTGAAACTAGTAGAGCTTTCCTCAGTTAAAATCACGTAGTAAGAAATTATTGTTAATAAATTTGGCATGTTAATATTAAAAAAAAAACCAATAGCTGCTGTCTCTGAACTGAATCAATCTTTATTTTATAACTAAGCTGACTGTTTTTTTTACCTTTAATTGTTAGGTCGATTTAAATGTTGCATGTACTTATACAAATATTTTGGTATAGATTATTAAAAGAACTATGTAGAATGTTTTAAACTTTTTATTTTTGTACCTTTTTTATTGTAACAAATTAATTATGTACTTATAAATATATTTAAAGTTATGTTTATTTATGTATGTTCATGTCACTAAATGCAGATGCACAATTCTGTCATGTTAAAGGCTTGAGTAGACAAATGCGTATGCCTGAACGTTTGATCTTTCGGTTGTCCTACAGTTATATACGTAAACAGTCTACTCGAGCCTTTAATATGACAGTATTACTTGTATAGGTAATGGATATTATACTTTAAGCATAACAAAATAAAGTATAATATTATTCAAAAATGTTTGTACAGATGGTGGTGGTCTATGGCAACCAGCTAGCTATGGGCACCGAGCGTTCACGACGGGACGCACTCGACCACATCAGCCCCCGCCTAGAGTAAGGCATTCTCAGACGTTGAAGGTAAGTTTTTAAAGCTTACCATAGCCGACCCTTCCAAAATTATAAGGCACTCCTAACTTGTTTAGACCCTTCCAAAATTATGGCAAAGCACTCGTAACTTGTTTGGTGTTGTTGGTGTTTATTGGTTTGCCATAGATGCGGGTATACTCAAGTGCAATAAGGTAAGGACAGCGGCCTCGGTCTAGAACAGGAGAAGGAGTGGGGTTTTAGTCAGTAAGAGTCTGATACTCCCTCTCTTTCATATCTTTTTTTATGTTGCCCCGTTTTTTTATCAACAGCCGATACTTTTTCCTTAACCTTCTTAAAAAGTTACTTTATAAATTAAAATGGACGTTAAAATAAGTAGTAAATAGGATTTATTTACATACAAATTGATCTCCTGCAAAAATTTGTCTTAACTGATATTTGAACTTGAAGTTTTAGCATATTTTTGATAGATTTCTTATTTGCTGGATGAGGGGATATCATCAAGAGTTTTCTCTCGCTAGTGTCACACTCTTACTGACTAAGAAACTCCCTGTTCGTTGTCCTGCTCCAAGCGGATGCCGCGGTACGTTATTGCCCTTGCTACGCACCCCAGGATGAATTTGAGACATATACATTAATGACTTAAACAGTACTAAAACATGGCTTAAATAAAATCCATGATAAAATGTACAAATGAAGAATTTACTTATTTAAAAAGTTAAAAGAATTGGTAATACAGCGCACGTTATCCTTTTGTTTTTTTCCCATAGCAACCTGGAAAACTGGACATGAATAATTACACGATGGTCAGCGATGCCCTTCAACACATCACCATTGGACCTCCTGCTCACTCCAGATCCGATAGAAAGGTATTTTTGTAAAATGGTCGCCGATGGTTATCAACAAATTATAGTCAAACAACAAAAAATTATAATCAAACAATATACATAATACGTGTTAATTAAAATATATCCAATACTTATTTATAGCAACATGTTTTTTTTTGTTTTTCTTCATTTAATTCGATTATAATTCATTATTTACAGTTATTAATAATTGTCTTTGTACGATAACTATTAGAGACATGTCGATGTAAATTAAAATAGTACGTTTTATTCACGTGTTTTGTTACTAGGATGCTCGACTAGTTTCGAGCCAGATCGGGGTTCAACTTTTAGAAAATTATGTTTGATTTTAGACGCAGCGCACTGGTTGGACTCACTCCAGTGGGCAGCAAGGAGGCCACCATCACCATCCGTCCGGTGTTAGCTCCGAGACTGAACTCGATGCACAGTATGCACAGGTTTGTATTAATTACACGCTTTGTATTAACTAGATTTATATAAAATTGTGATTTGACAATTGTTACACTCTAAAAATATTTGTTACAGATTAAAGAAACGAATGAATACATGGAAGCGCCGTCTATGATGCGGTTGCGAAGACATCGGAGACACGAGAAGACGCCTTTACATCAGCCCTGTAAGTCTATAAAAAAATAGTTACAGTAAAGGACATGGCCAACTTTTGTATGGGCGTTTGCATAGTTATTGAATTCAATGTACATCAATGATTTTTGGTGTTTACATTCGTGAATATTATTTAATTAAATTGCAATAAATAAAACACATGAAGAACTCGTAAGTATAACAAACAAGACGAAAATAGTTTCACTAAACCTTTAGTCAGATTACTGGCCATAAGTGCACGAAATAAGATTTTGCTTTTAAAAACCATGGCGTTTTAATTATTTATTTATTTATTTATAAAATAAAACAAAAGAATATGAATAAAGAATGATGATTTATTTATTAAGGAGAACAAATAAAATAAAACTACGTAATAATTCACTTTTATATTTTTATTATAAAGTGTATTTTATTGTGTTTGTGTATGGAATGTACGTTTCTGTAATATATATTCTGTATAATTGGGTAATAATATGGTAGTACTTTCCATTTGAAGCGGCCTGCTTAAAACAGGTGGTAATGGTGGTGGCTCTGGTGGTCTAACCACTTGAATATAAGGAGCTGCTGCATTGTTGTCCGAACCCAATTCCTGCAAGTTTCGTGATAAGTCCTGCATTGCCTGTCTATTTGCCCGCATACAGCACACATGACAAACATAGTTGCTTCTTGAGGTCTGAAAATAAATCCCAGTTATTCTTGGGCCACACTAACGGGAAATGGCATTAATTATCGCGGTAACGGACGTTAGTCGTAGGTGTAATTTAATCACTTTTAGCGACATCTATCGCACAACCATAACAACAGCACCAATCACATGCAAGATTCTACATCGCGCAAGTGAAGTTTACGCGCTAAATAGCACAATAGAAAAATCCCGACAACAACCGTCGGGCAGTAGCCCACCAGGCACGAACACCTCGCCTGGTCGGAGGATCCTCCCTTTTCAATGGAGGATGAGGAACTTTCCACCCTGTTCCTCATACCTCTAAACACTAAACAAATGAATTAAGGTGTATTTTTCATTGTTTAATATCACGAATTATCGCGATAATTATTGGCATTTCCCGTTAGTGTGGCCCAAGCATTAGAATAAACACATGTTTTCAAGTTTTATGTTATTGTACAGTGAGAAGTATTATGTTAAAACATGCCTACTTTAAAGAAGTGTATGCAAACATGGAAAATACATAAAGATAGATATTATAATCACACATACCTACTATGAGTACTTTTTTTATAGATTAATATAGATAAATACAAGTACATATATAAAACAATAATTAAAAAACAAAATGCTTACCACATTAATAGTATTTTGTGATATTAGGCCAGCTAGCAATGGAGAGTCCATACTGACATTATGGTGTCTTATTTTTCGAACCGATTTTCCACAACCAAGGCAAGCCATGTTATGCCCCAGTAGTCTCTCATGTTCACCAGCCTTAGTATTCAATAATAAGAAGCGTGGTTGACAAATGAATGTCCCCAGAGGCAACTAAAAAACAGATGCACTATTTAAAATCGCATACCATTATAAAACATAAAAAAACAGACTAAGTATTATACTATTCCGACTTCATACCTGGGTTTGAGCTATGGTTAACCAACGTGAAAGTTTTGTTTGATGGGGTGCAGAAAGCGAGGATATAAGACGCCTCTGCAGCCTTTGTACGCCTATTCCGCAGTTGATGCACCTCATCGTAATCCACAAAACAAATCCAAAACGCAAAACAGTTACTCCAGTATTATTAGCAAGGTTAACAAAAACACGCTGTCAAAAGTGTCAAACACGTTCCGTTTCGTTTAAGTTTTTTTTTTTGGTGTATTGGATAAAAGTAAAACATAATATTATTATAATATGACATCACGTTTTCTACGAGTGTAGTTTAAGACACGTGGTTTGGAATTGGGACGTCTTTTTATTTATCTTTCTATATAGATAAGTTGATTTTGTTGCATTACTTCTACATTTTTTTAATAATAATTGTCAGGTCTGGAGAGGCTAAAAACTACGTAATAATTCATATTTCTATTTGTATTTTACAGTGTATTAATTTTGTTCGTGTACGTGGAATGTACTTTTTTGGCCATGTCCTTTACTTACGTCAATTTTTTTGTCATAGCGCTGTAATAGAGCAAAGTACAGACTTTCTTAAATGAATAACTTACAATGATGAATTGAATTAACTGAAAAAAAAGAAAGAAGAATTTTATTTCTTTCTCCTTCTTCTTCTTTAACTGAAAAAAGTATTATTAGTTCCACTACATTAGGTTCATTAACTTATTGGCTGATGATGATAATGATGATGAAGTAAGAATAATTTGCGTGCATGATCTTTCCGTTCTTTTGTGATTTAGGCGTCTTCAAGGCTAGAGTGATTAGGCTCTTAATGAAATAGTGCGTCTTATCTTTGACGAATGCATCACTGCTTACCATCAGGTGGGATTGCAGTCAATCATAAAATTATAGAAATAGATGTTACTTTCGCCTAAACTGGCTAAACGTGTATGATCGTGTGGCATCCCATCTGTATCTTACCTACCAATGTTCTAATAAAAATATAATATCTGATTCTGACATATCTCGTGTCATGTCCCAGCATTCTCGGAGACGGACAGCTCGGGGTCGAGCTCGGGGTCTGGCGGGGGCAGCGCGGGCCGCGCACACGCCCGGCGCCGCCACAACGCGCACCACGCGCCCCGACACTACAAGAAAAGGTACGACGATCATCGATCACTAATAAAGAACTAGATACACAATCCCATACAAAAGTTCGCTTCAAAACTGTCGCCAACTGTATTTAGGTACTTATACTTGAAATAAAAATGCATTAATGTAAATTAAACCTTAAATGCAACTCATAGAGTTGTTTTTACAAAGTGATGTACAAAATCTTAATACTTTTTGCGACCGAAGCTCTTGACAAACACAAATCATAAGAAATTGAACCATATTCGCATGTTTTTAAGTCGAATTTACAAAGTGTCAAAAATAAGCAATAAAATTTAACGACTTCGGCTCACCGCTAGGACAAAGAATGATTGGAGTCGAAATGTCTCGTAAGAAATATATTTCTTTCGTATTTTATAATTTATCAAAAAAAGAAAATACGCAAATTACAATGCATTACTTATAGTATTCTTTTCTATAGGTTTGTTCATTTATTTACCAATGAAAGTAATGCATATAGTTATAATTCTTTTTTTTTATTTTCGTCCTCCTTAATCCTTTCTATTCGAAGTCAAATAAAAAAGATGTAAAATAATAAAAAGAATATATATCTAAAGTAAGTACTGAAAATGTTGGCGTTATTGTTGTCAATTTTTCATATCGAACGGGTCTTGATGAAAGCTAAAAAAAAAATTCTTTACTGCAGTTAAAATTAAATCCATTACATCTGCCTATTCCATATTTTAATAAACACAGTAAAGAAGTATAATATTAAATAAAAACTATTTTTTAATAAAAAAAACAATAAATAAAATTAGAAACAATAGCGTTTCCACTAAACGGAACAGAATCAATCCACGTAAACCGAACAACTTAAGTGGTCATGCTAGAGAATGATTTTAAGTTCAGTATAAGTGTCTTTATAAACTGTGTGCATTATAACCCCGGTTTTTGAATATGATTTCATTTGGAAAAAGTTTTAAAGTTGATTTCTTAATAAAATATCAATATTTAAAATATAATGATGACAATTATATAATGATAATATTATTACTTAACGAAAATATGAAATTCCATCCTTTTTTGCATCTTAGATGTGTGTGTTTTTGCAGTTTTTTTAACGAGCACTGAGGCGTGTTTACCGTCGGAGCATTCGAGTGGTACTAAACTAAAACTACACCGCGATGTTGAGTTTGGTGGACTTTCAGTTGGGACATTTTTTTGCCACTGATTGTGTATCTAGTTCTTTATTAGTGATCGATGACGACGATACACTATTCACGCATTCTTATACAACTTTATACCACAATGATCCACTTAGAACTTTACTCCGACGTATTAAAGACCACTTTGACATGATAAAATGTTGCTGACAGTTGAGGATTTTTTCATATATCGTGGGTATAGAAACATAAAAATTTCCACACACAAAAGCAACTTGTGTGTTTTGTGTCTTTGATCTCAATGAGAATGTTTAACTTAGTCATTAGATAACTCAACTTATGAGTATGTGAATTACAGAAAATACTAATTTAGGACGCTTTTTATTTACTTACGATGTGAGAAGAAAAGAATTAAATTAAAATCAATATAAACATTTTTATACTAATAAATTATGCAACTACACAGTTCATTTTTTAATAATTAGTAGGTATACAACATTTTAAGTCCAAGTTTTGCATTTCTTGTAGGAATTGTTCCTAGTAAATATATAACTATGAAGTGTTTTGATACAGGTCGTTAGGCAACTTGGTAGCTGTCCAGAGCCCGCGCGTGCCAAAGCTGGGAATGTTTGTGGGTCCGCCCGAACTGCCGACTGGATACAGAGCGAGGACGCAGGAGGATAAAGGTAAAAATAAGCTATAATTATTTATACTAATGGTATTATTATACTATACGAAAGCTAAGCTACTATTATATTATACTAATCGTTAGGCCCGTTTCCGAGATCACATGCTTTTTCGAGCAATCAGCGCCGTCTGCCGGGCTGGTTTGTAAGTCTAAACCATCTAGGGCGCCACACAAACGCATACAGAAAAATTCATTTATATCGGTCAAGCCGTTTAGGAGGACCCATATTCCTTGTGATCGTAGATACTATATTAAGTAACAAATGCTGAACTACTGTGCCCAAATAACTTTAATTAATAAATAATTTTGTGATCGTTACACAGGTTTTTAGATTCTGGAACTTGTAATACAAAGAAGTTTTCCAAATTTTCGCATTGGTAGAGTGCAATTGCACTAGACTGTAGACTACTTATACATGAATTTTTACTTTTTAGCTGCGAGCGAGTCCAGTGAAGGTAGTTCCGACGGAGAGTCCCGGAGGCCTAGGCCATTGCCCCCGCCGCCACATCACGAACCCACACACAAGGTAAGAACAAAAAACATACAACATGTACTATATATTTGTAAGTACATAGGTTTTTAGTAGAGAAGTTGAAGAAAAAGGTTAATCTATTTAGACTTTGAATATGATTATGTTTTTTGTTGACAAAAAGGCTTTCTGCTTATTCTCTTAGCACCTAACCTACTTTTTATTCAAAGAAAACAAAAGTTTTCTCTGTTACATCGGTGTTCTTTTTTTTGAAAAAGAAAACAATAACGATAAAAATAAAACAAAAAACACGATCTCGATGTCTACCAGATATACTTACACCCAGTTTCTGAAAGGCTTGTCAATTCATTGATCAACTAACACTGTGATTAATTTGACATGACTGTCAAATCAATTTGAGTTTCTGACGCCCGGTTTCTGAAAGGCTTGTCAACGCTAAAATTAACTAATCTCCTGTTAAATCTCTTGTCAAGTGTCAATTGGGTTGCATAAAGCATGATTAATCAACTTATTTGACCATCATGTCAGTTGACATGGCTGTCAAATCAACTCAAGAATCGAATGATTATCGCAATTTTGGGTTTCTGAAACGCTGGTCAAGCCTTGATCATAGATTATTCGTCTGTCAAAAGCTCGGTCAACTAATCGGTGCTTGTTGGCGAATTAACTTACGAATACATCTGATTTTTCACGTGAGTTTACATTTTCTCTTTAAATAAGTATATTTTTTTAAGATATGTTAAACAGAAATATGTATTACGAAATTTTATTTGTAATAATACAATTTTCTTTGTATGTGTAAATTATTTGATATCTTGATTAACTTACATTGATTCTGGTTTTAGATTACGATAATGTTTCTTTCGGATAGTAGCATGATGAGTATCAGCACATCCAGCAGCGATGAAGATTTAAGACCAGAATGAATCCGTTTGATTTCTATAATGAAGAGGAATTTAAGAATCGGTACTAACCAACGGACAAAGGCGTTTGTGCTGTTAGGTACTAGTTAACATGTTAGAGCCGAATATTAAACAGTTCACTTTGAGGAACGATTCTATCAGTGCTTTGGATAGGTGTTACTGACAATATGCTATTACCATGCCACATGAGCGTTTCAAATTACGGTTGCTGAGAGTGCACAAATCTACGGCTTGTAGAATAATAACAAAAGAATCTGCAGCGATTACTATGCCCTGTAAACATGAAGATTGCACAAGGATAAAAACAGAATCCTACAAAATTAGCTCTTTTCCAAATGTGATCGGTGCATTTGACTGCACACATGTAAAGATACAGTCTACTAGTGAGCCACAAGCTGAGCTGTACAGGAACAAGAAAGGATATTTCTCAAGTATATCTTAGGATAGTTCAAGAAGATATTGGTGCTCTGTCAGAGATAAATAAAAAAACACTTCTGTGCGCACATCTTTATTGTTGACTCATTTTAATTGTTAAGTAATATTAATGGTATTTATTGTTAGGTGAATACAAAGAAATAACCATATTATTAACATGTTTAATTAATCTTTATAAAATACAACACTTGAAATATAAAAACAAGTACGTATTTAGTTAGTATAGTAACTTATATTTAAATTAAATGCTAATAATGTATATTTCTTAACCAAATGATTTATTTTATTTCGAAATATATGCTGTTTTATAGTTAACCGATATTCTAACTTTTTTTTTTATTTACATACTTCATCTTTATTTCATTATACTTCTTATTATTCTGTTTCTGAGTGCCTGCCTCTCATGTTTAAACTGTTTCCTTGATGTGCAAGTTAAATTACCTGTAAGTAAATTTCATTAAAGTTGCAATAATTATTCTTAATACATGATTAGGTACTTACTTAAGAAATCAGGACAGGTATATTAATATATCCTAATCTGGTTATAGTTACAATATTCTGACTAGCTAGTATGGGCACTATAAAAGTATTTTAAGATCAAAAACTTACATTATTATTGGCTACATTCTGTTTCGTAGTTATTTTTAATTCCAATAGGCTATGATTAGCTGTTTTTGGCTTCGAGGCACTTCTGCAGTACTGTAAAATTCATTCGTTGTGGTTTCCCGAGCTTCATTTTTAAGAATAGTAGAAATAGCATTTGTGCACTGATTATCAATTATGTGCTTGTATCTGTAATAAAACATGGTGCGTTTTATACATCAGTCTTGGCTTCAGCGCAGGATGTGAAGTATAAACAAAGATATTTTATACTTTTAAACACGAATAGGTTTATAAAACGCAATAGGTAAAAAATATATGTTTATACTTATACTTACTACTGAACTAGTTCTAAAAGAACATGCCTTTCCCTTTCGATGAAATTCTTCCCTCGTTATGCCATTTTAAGCAAGTTTAGTTTGCATTTTATTGAAATTGTAACTAGATATTTGAATTTCGCAGAATTGTTTGACATCAATGACAGTCCGTAATTTTTTTAAATATTAACTTATTTGACAGATAAGAATGAACTATTGAACAAAAAAGAGCAGTGTGGCTATAATTAAAAATAAATCGCATGTCAAATCAAAATAATCATAGATTAGTTAATCATGGTCTGATCAACGTTGGTTAAGAAATATACATTATTAGTATTTAATTTAAATATAAGTAAGTTACTATTCTAACTAAATATGTCTATGTAAGATAATATACTTGTTTTTATATTCCAAATGTTATATTTTATAAAGTATTTTATAAAATTAAACATGTTAATAATATGGTTATTTCATTGTATTCACCTAAAAATACATACCATTAATATTACTTAACAAATAAAATGAGTCAACAATAAAGATGTGCGCACAGAAGTGTTTTTTAATTTATCACAGAAAGAGCACAAATATCTTCTTGAGCTATCCTAAGATATACTTGAGAAATATCCTTTCCTGTTCCTGTACAGCTAAGCTTGTGGCTCACTAGTAGACTGTATATTTACATGTGTGCAGTCAAATGCCCTGATCGCATTTGGAAAAGAGCTAATTCTGTAGGATTCTGTTTCTATCCTTGTGTAATCTTCATGTTTACAGGGCATAGTAATCGCTGCAGATTCTTTTGTTATTATTCTACAAGCCGTAGATTTGTGCACTCTCAGCAACCGTAATTTGAAATGCTCATGAAGCATGGTAATAGCTTATTGTCAGTAACAGCTATCCAAAGCACTGATAGAATGGTTCCTCAAAGTGAACTGTTCAATATACGGCTCTAACATGTTAACTAGTACCTAACAGCACAAACGCCTTTGTCCGTTGGTTGGTACCGATTCTTAAATTCCTCTTCATTGTAGAAATCAAACGGATTCATTCTGGTCTTAAATCTTCATCGCTGCTGGATGTGCCGATACTCATCATGCTACTATTCGAAAGAGACATTATCGTAATCTAAAATCAGAATCAATGTAAGTTCATCAATATATCAAATAATTTACACTTACAAAGAAAATTGTATTATTACAAATTACAAATAAAATTTCTGTTTAACATACCTTAAAAAATATACTTATTTGAAGTGAAAATGTAGACTCACGTGAAAAATCTGTTGTATTCGTAAGTTAATTTGCCAACAAGCACCGATTAGTTGACCGAGCTTTTGACAGACGAATAATCTATGATCACGGCTTGACCAGCGTTTCAGAAACCCAAAATTGCGATAATCATTCGATTCTTGAGTTGATTTGACAGCCATGTCAACTGACATGATGATCAAATTAGTTGATTTAATAATGCTTTATGCAACCCAATTGACACTTGACAAGAGATTTAACAGGAGATTAGTTAATTTTAGCGTTGACAAGCCTTTCAGAAACCGGGCGTTAGAAATACATAAATGACTATTCTATTCCATTCTAAAATTCTCATATATTTTATTTACATGATAAATGCGGTAAACTTAGCTATAGACATTATTTTCTTGCGACAAAACATGCAGACATGTGTGCAAACATATTTTACGACTTACTTAAATCAGTTCAGCCTTTTTTGAGTTAAACAATAACTAACATACATCCATAAATTCTCACAAACTTCCATGGTTACAATATTAATGGGATAATGTATGTTATTATTTATGTACGTATGTATATATACATAGAAAGATACCACCAGGTCCTTATTCCTAAGAAATGTTGTAAACCCAAGATTTTTCATTATATTTCTTGCTCATAACAGATACTATCGGGAGAATATCCATCATCAGCTCAGGACAACTCATCGTCAAGCGCGGCAGACACGCGGCGACGTCATCCCTTCAGCAAGCACGATCGTAGGCATAAGGTAACAGACATTTCTACTTATTAATGTTTCTTGCGGCAAGACTTTAATTTTAATTCCTATTAAACATACAATCTGGATTCGTAGGGAAAAGTCGGCGATTAGAAATACAAACTGTATTTGGAATAAATTACGGCACTAACACCAGGTTTTCAAAAAGGCCGATCAATGTTAAAATCAATTTAATCTCTTGTCATCTGATTGGTTAACTGAATTATTAACAACCAATCAGATGACTTGACAAGAGATTTAACAGGAGATTAGTTAATTTTAGCGTTGACAAGCCTTTCAGAAACCGGGTGTAAGTTCGCAGTCATAGTTGTATTATAACTTCGCTATTATTGTATTCTTCTAGGAATTCTCAAAGAGCAAAGACTCTAAAAAGAATGCGGCTCAGATGAACAACACACAGAATCCACAGAACTGGGGTCCACAGGTGAGACAAACTTATAAATATTTTATTCGTTTCAGGGCTGATTTTTCAACAGTCCGATAAATGCTATCTGACGAATAAAATTGTTGCTATCACTGTCTTATACAAACATTCTGACGCGACAGCATCATAATAATTGTTCCACAGATACATTTTATCTAACCATTGAAAAATCAGCCCTTAAACGTTTTTGCATTACGCGAAGTTAATTAATGCCTCATTCATACATGACGCAAAAATACAAGACGTCAAACCTCAGTGTTTCATACAAATTTCATAGAAAGGTATCGTTTTTGACATTTGGATAAAAGTATTGAATTTGACTAGTTGGAGACTGATGATGATGATATAAGTTTTTTCACTCGTTCCATCTAGGAGGAGAGATGAAATTTAATTATTAACTATTTAAAAAAAAGCGTTAATATCTATGTGTGTTTGTACCAGGGCGCGCACGGTATCCCTCTGTTCGTGGAGAAATGCGTGGAGTTCATAGAGAGGGAGGGACTGGCGTCGGAGGGCCTGTACAGAGTGCCGGGCAACCGGGCACACGTCGATATGCTCTTCACCAAGTTTTATGAAGGTTTGTTTTCATTTTTTTATTTATTATATAAGTTGATTGGTAAGTAGTGATCGATATTTAAACACGTAATGGCAGTCATGATAACAAGCAACTTTCCCAAACAAACTTTTTCTATACTTATTAGTTTTATTTGTGTGTGTAATTTCAAAAATTCTGACACCACTGACATACGTAGAAGGTGAATATACTAAGGAAATTTATAAATTCCAATAACCAAGTCAAAGTAATAAAATGGTATTCCAATTAAACTATATAAAGGTACTTTTGAAACATCAAAGTATAATACTTAATAATTCGTCAGTCTGTTCCCCAATGAAGCTAAGCCCTTTCCAAAGTGTAGATTCGAATTGAGAAGAACGAGTAAAAACTCCATTCTATTGTTACTCTTTTAAAAACCTGTTTAAATATGTTTTACGAGCTCAAAGAGCTACATAGAGCAAAATGTTAGCAAGAAGTCGCCTTGAGCTAGCATTGTAATTAATGGCCATCCCTTCCCCGTGGGAAAAAATATTTAGGTTGTTTTTTTTATATTACAGCAATTACAATTTAGTAATGATAATAATAATTCTTTCCAGATCCCAAAGTGGATTTAGATTCACTGGATATACCTGTGAACGCGGTGGCGACTGCACTGAAAGATTTCTTCTCGAAGAGATTGCCGCCCTTACTCGACGAGGCCAGCATGGCTCAGCTTGAAGATATTGCCAGTAAGTTCGATTTAAGACTATAATTGGTTTATGTTAAGGTTGTTTTTCATTTGTTAGTTTAGTTTTCATGTTAGTTTAGTGTGATTTTCAAAATGAATTTGACCTTATTTTGTATAGTAAATTATTTTTTTATTCATCAACGTGATCTATCTATCTATTAAGTGACTTTCGATCATCGCTATACCTTCTACAGTTAAACTTTATCCAAAGATTGTCTGGTAAATATTGCTTTTTAGCGATAAGACCGCTAATTGTATATCTTTGTTTTTTTTCCCTAATTGTTCATGCCAAATAAGTTATTTTTCTTTCTTTCTTTCTTACTATCTTTTGTGTTTTTCATTATTATGGTGTATAATAAAGAATATTCATTCATTTATTCATTCATTCAAGTGCCTTAATACTTTGCGCAAACGATGCGCTAGTTTTTGTCATTTTTGAGTGAGTGAGGTAGTAATTAGCGCAAGCAATGCGCTATGTTAGCGCAAGCGTGTGTTTGACGGCGTATGGTTGCAGCGATGCGCGGCTGCTTCGCGGGCGGCGTGGAGCTGAAGGACCGCTCCTGGAGGCTGCTGGCGCTGCGCTCCCTGCTGCACTCCGCACTCACGCCCCTCGCGCGGGCCACGCTCGACTATCTACTGCACCACTTCGCCAGGTAAATACTTATCTGATCAACAGAGTAATATACTTCTGGCACCATGTAATATAAATGAAAGTCCTGGATCTTGGTTGACTTGAGTTTTATTTAACAACATACTGCTTCACAGTTTTATAGTCTAAAGGACGACCATTAAATATGACGGATAATTAATGAAGTTATAGTGGTGTAATAATTAGTAATGTCACAAAAAAACAGCTGGTTTCACAAGTCTAATATGTGATACGTATTGAAAAAGTTTGTCATTTTGCTTAAAAAATACATCAAATTATAGGTCAGTCACAGTTAACATTTTATATCCATTTTTATAAGTTTCTAGCTCTCTTGAAACACCCTGCGTATAGTATTATTATGCTTGACTAACGAGACAAGCACAAATCTAGATTTATAAATTAATCCTAATTTCTCATGATCATGACATTACGCGTAAACTGTTAGGCCGATCGATAAACCTTTTTTATGTGTTTGTTATTATGAGGAAAAAAAAGATTTTTTTGAAAAGTACATGGGAAAATCGGAAAATTTCAAATATTTCGATAATGTGGTCGTTTACTGACCTAAACAAATGATGCGTTTGCAAATTGATACCTAAAAGACTAACACCCGGTTTCCGAAAGGCCGATCAATGTTAAAATCAATTTAATCTCTTGTCAAGTTATCTGATTGGTTGACTGAATTATCAACAACCAATCAGATGACTTGACAAGAGATTTAACAGGAGATTAGTTAATTTTAGAGTTGACAAGCCTTTCAGAAACCGGGCGTTACTGTTTGTGATAAAGTACCCAAAGTCTTATAAGTAACTAAAAGAACCCATTTTCTCTCCAGGGTGGCAGACAACTCTAAACTAAATTCAATGGACAGTAAGAATCTGGCGATTTGCTGGTGGCCCACTCTTCTTCCAGTACAGTTCTCAGACATGGGCCGGTTTGAGATGACCAGGCCTTACCTTGAGGATATCGTGCAGACCATGATCGATCAACACCCCTTTCTGTTCCGGGGGCAAGAAGCTTTTGTTATGGTGTGAGGACAGTGTGTAAGTGTTTCAAAATATTTTTGTAAGTGTGGGAGAGCCAAGCCTCGGCACGAACGGGTCGGCTAGACATGAGTGACACCACGGGCTCACAGAACAACCGCAGCGTTTTTTTTTTGCCGCGTGATTGAGGTCACCGGAGGCCCAAAAGCTCCCCCTCCCCCCAATCCTTAAATATCCGAAATGCTAAAAGGCCGTCAACGCACTCGTAACTCCTTTAGTACTGCGGGGTCTATGGGCGGTGCCCATAGCTTACCACTCGTGCCGAAACGTTTCGCCGTGTCAGCGAAGTATCAGAGGCGCAATCCTCCCCATCTTTAACCCACAATAAACCGGCGACGCACTTGTAACTCCTTTGGTATTACAAGTGGCGCCGATTACTTACCAACAAGTAATCCGTTTACTCATATGCCATGTTAAATAATGTGTAAAGATTTAGCAAACGGTTTTATGTATTCGAACCCCATAATAAAGTCCACAAGTGGAATGACAGACTAGATGCCTTATACTCTATTTAAAAACTCACTTTTCCAGGAACCCACAATGCAGGTTGCATTCGTGATGGACGACGTTTGACGTCGCCGCGCTGTGGTCACGTGACCGGCGCCATATTGCCCCGCGGCGGGCCCCCGCTTACCATACGATACTTATAGCGCGTAAGTTTGGCTACTATGTGTACTTTGCGATGTGGACTTTGTGACGACATTTGACATTAAACAAATGACGTCACAGCTCACACATCCATACATACGATGTTGCGATTATTAAAAAAAAGTTTAGTTTGAATAATCGCAATGACGTACCTTTATTGGCAAGCTATTGTTGTTCTAAAAGTAGGTTTTTACTATACATAAATATGTCTGTCGGTATTCAGTATAATTAGACGGATAATGTTTATTTTTCCATTCGAATTCTCATATCAGTGACGCTTAGTGAACGCGTATCAACGTTGCTTGCATTACGATAATTATTTTCTCCATTTATTTTACAACGCAACTAATTATAAAATAGATGTTATCCAATTATAATAAACGCATTTGTATAGATTATAAGTGGAAATGCACAAAAAAAGTATTTAAACGAAAATGTTTTTTAAATATAAGGTAACACTGGTATTTATATTTGTAATCTATTAATGGCAACACCATGTATTAAGCACATTCCGTTCAGAAATATTAAGTGTTAATAATTATTGGATATTAATTGATAATGATAGTTATTCTTATCTGGTTTTAGTAAGTCGTATAAAGAAATGCTTGCGGGCGCTTGTTTTTTTAAATATTTTTATATGGCAACATTTTTGTGGTAATGTCACGTGTCTCTTGTGTGTATTGGCTGGTTTTAGCCGACTTAAAAGTAGTAAGTATTGTATTTAAATAATATTCCTAATTCCCATATAGAGAAAAATGATTTTGTTCAGCTTATTCAAGAGGCCATTTTAAGTTCTATTGGTATAGGTGGTCAACTAAAGGTAAACTTGGTATGTATTTTCGTTTCCTTTCACGGGATCACGGGATCCCGGCCCCTTGGAAGGCGCACAAGGAGCCGAAGCCAACTCGCAGAGGCCCGTTGAACAATTTTAATATAAATGTGATGGGACATCAGCTGGCAATTATCCCTGTATGCACTATAAAAGTGCACCCAAGGACAATCCCCGGTTGATGCAGAACTATTGTGAAACGTGGTAAAAATTGATAGGGTTATGGGTATGGGTTGCTATGCACTAGTGGATGAAAACTATGGAAATACTATCCCCTACTAGCCCCTGCCCCTGACCAATATTGATACATACGGATAAACAGGCAGTATGCATTTTTATTATTAAAGAGGTCTTATAAAATACTTACCAAGATTTTTTAAATTTAGTTTATTAGCTAACATCGATATGGGTAAATACCTGATTGTAAACATTTTTCAGACAACTTTTAAATAAAAAAACATGCCAAGATTGTTTGCGTTTAGTTTATTACTTAAACCACTATTGGTTTAAGTCTATGACCAGAGATAATAACATACATTATTATTTATTTTGAGAAAGCAAACGTAACGCTTAGCTAGTTTTTTTTATTATTTCTTTTTACATAATAACAATAAAATCTTGCCATATTATTAAACGAAATTTTTAGAAGATTTTGTGCTCACAAAAATATAAAGTTGATACAATTGACGATGGCGATTTGTTATAATATAGCTTAAGGTGTGAATTTTAAAGAACAATTTTGAATATCACATTTTATTTTACACAATTTACAATATAAATTCGCATTAAAAACTTTGTTTAAGTTTAATTTGCATGTGTTGTATCGCTCAGCATAATTTGTATCAACTGTCCAAGCAATTTTGAACCGTAAAGGCAGCTTTTTTCTTAATTTTCGAGACTGATACCAGTTAGTTCCTTTACACAGAATCCAAATTTCGCACTTAATTCTTAAAATAATGATTAAATTTAAAATATTGGTTAGCATATCGTTGTTTTGAAAATTCGTTTTAAATACCAATGTTTGTGAAGGAATGCTTATATATTATCTCTAAGTGAAACCACGGTGTATGGAATTCGATCCCGGAAACCGAATTTCCTGAATACCGTTCGTTTTTATTACAATAGCACATTTTCCATGGTGTTTATTGACTGGGCTTCTCCCAGTTGTACAGTCTCTTTTGTGCCTTTAAGGCTGATGGATGACTGATGTTTAGCCGGGGTTGCGGGTTAAGCGCAATTAGTCATCACGGCCTCGGGCCAGAGCAGGAGAAGGAACGGGGGGTTTTTAGTCAGTAAGAGTCTGACACTCTCTCTCGCCTTACCCTGCGAGGGAGAGGTTTTTTCCACTGACAAAAAAGTCTTAAGTCTTTCTGTCTCCTGTATTAAATTTACCGAGGGAAGTGGAAACCATTAAGTTTTTCTTCTCCTCAAATAACATATTCTGATTTATTTCGTTGCGGGATCCAAGACAGTCCATGTCCCTGGGACGCACCGGACTTCAGTGTTCCGATGTTTTCATGGTTGTATCTACTGTTGATCCTGGCTTACAGGAGTTGCAGTAGTATCGAAAGGTTGTAGTGGGCGTGTCTTAATTATGTTGTACGTTAATTATAACATGAATTACACCCGGTTTCCGAAAGGCCGATCAATGTTAAAATCAATTTAATCTCTTGTCAAGTCATCTGATTGGTTCACTGAATTATCAACAACCAATCGGATGGCTTGACAAGAGATTTAACAGGAGATTAGTTAATTTTAGCGTTGACAAACCTTTCAGAAACCGAGTGTTAGTGTTTCTAAAACTATATGTGCAACATTGACAGACTACTAGTACTTAAACCTTTATCCCTCTCGTAAAAGTATAAAAAAATGCGTGAAAACAATCTGCTAATGATTCTTAGATATTTCTTTAACTTAAGCCGCACTCAGACTCATTTAATGGTTGCTTAAATCAGCCGTTAATAAAAAACATTGGTATTTAATTCGAATAAAAAAAGAACGAAAAGCCAATGGCCTATCTTATATGTTAAGTGTTAGACTGACGTAGTGTAAACGCGTATCTCAATATTATTTATTAACACTTGAAAAAAAAATATCTACGCGGTCCTTATAATCCGTGTGGCCATTTTCCACAACCAAGAATTCGCTATGGTGTTATATCTTCCATAATTCCAAATTAATCTTATGAAGTTAATTGTAATTTCGTTTGTGTCGTAATGAATGTATGGATCGAGAAGTTGAGTCGATATTTTCAAGTTGCGTAGTAGAAAGTTTTAATTTACGTATCGAATTAAGGGCTGATTTTTCAATGGTTAGACAAAAGTTACCTGGGGAATAATTATGATGCTGTCGCGTCGGAATGTTTGTATAAGACAGTGAAAGCAACAATTTTATTCCTCAGATAACATTTATCTGGCTATTGAAAAATCAGCTCTAAGGGTATTTTTCACTGTTGGAAAGAAAACAGCCCTTAGGTACGAGTGAAACTCGTCTTTTTAATATGTATATTAAAATGGTCTGTTCTTATTAAAGCGACGATTAGTTTTTATATATGTAATATTCTTATGCCATTAGTCAATAAGGATGTATGTGCACTTTAAATTTGATTTTTCACTAACGTATTATTGGAAACTTATTTTGTATTTATCTCATGTATTGCGATTGTAACGTGATTCGCTTTAGTATTTTTCAGTGTTTCAAGTACATTGTTGTATTCGTAACGTATTTTTTTATTGAGTAGAGTGAATATTATAGTTATTGTCCAGATAATTGGTATTTGAAGATGAAAATGTCAGCCAAATCTTTCCAGTAGTGTATTTTTGTGGTAAATGCCGCGAATTGATGTTAAAAATGGCGGTTTTTCTACGAAATTTGAATGCCAATCAGCTGTCACGTGAGTCTTCTACCTTATTTCGCATCTAAGTCTTCGACTATTATGAACTCTGTTACGTAAGTCTTAAGGTAGATATTACTCGATTCCATTACGTTGATTTGCAAGAGCAATTTCGGATTTGTATTAAGCATCGCGAGTAAATTATAATGATGTAACTATTTAATAAGTATATTTAATATATTAGGTGTCTTCATTAAGCATAGTTAAGAATGTACGTAAGTTTTTAACGATATAATGTCATTATATCACTGTCTCACTCGCACGTACGCGAGGTCCGTCTGGCCGCGAGTGTGCGAGGGAGACAGGAATCATGTCCATTAGGGGAATGATGTGAGGGAATTTTTTATATTTTACTATGAATCGAAAAAGACATAGAGCCTACCTGTGTTTAAATATTATTTTTCTAGAATTTTTCGCTTCCCCTGTAGATCTCACTGGCGGTGTTACACCCTATATATTTTAAAAAGTTATTTTTTAATGTGAAATTTCCCCTAATGTTATTTCGAAAATAAATGCAATTTCTATATAAATATTCGATGTAAATATTGTACATTCGTTCATTTTTTTATTTTTATTATTATTATTTTTTGTCTTAATTTATTTATTGAGATATTTTTTTATCAAAGAGTTTTATAGCCATATATTTGTTACTCCATGCAATATTATGAGTGTTTTTCTTTAAGTTGTATTGACATTGATTTTTTTAATTTTATCCTTTGATTTTGTGCACTATTTGTTTTCTTTTTTAATGAAAAATTTCTTGTACGTGCCATTTTATTTTGAAAGTGCGGTGATTTCGGAGATTCCTAAGAAAATTGTTTTGGTAGTAAAATTTCATTTTTTATTTCCTGTAGGTTCTCGAATGTTCTACAGTAGGAATTCAATGTACGCTTGGCTATGTGGCCCGTCGTCGCCTGCCCAGCCTGCTAGGCTGGACGCTGAGTGAAGTATGCTTGTGTAGGTTAAATGACGAAACGATTGTATCGAATGATATTTTTACTCACAATTTGAGTGAGGATAAAGTAAGGTGCGTTCTGTAATTCTTATTATTATTGAACAGTATTATGGTGCATTTAAATTGAATTTTCGGTGGCTGTATTTAAGGTTTAATTTAGTAATTCGACTGTTATCATTTATCATCAGCCTGTTTTCTCTGTATCATAAAAGATCATACAAACAAGAGCATCCATTGAGCTCTATTTATTTCATGGCAGTATTTTTGTTGATATTTATTAAAGTCCTTTAATGACTTCTTCGTTACAATAATTCTGCATTTCTAAGGCACAAGCCCTGAGTCACTGCTCTGAGTGCTCTGTTAGAATTCTATATTCTAAAGTATTTTGTTTGTCTTCTAGAATTTCAATGTTAATTATTATAATAAACTTTTGTCGTAAATCGCTATTTAAAAATAACGCATCAAAATCCGTTGCGTAGTTTTGAAGATTAAAGCACACATATAGGAATATAGATACAGAGCAAGCGACTTTGTTTGATACTATATAGTGATGTTGTTCACAATAAACAGACGCACCTTATATTAATGATAGTAGTGTGATCAATGTTGTGATATATCAGTGATGAGTTGATGATGACCAGGCGCCCGCGGGCCGCACGGCGTCCGTTTTGCTATGCGTCTCAATTACCGTAAAACGACTCAAAAGGAATGTGTCATATTTTATAATAAATAATCATCTATGTAATGAATTTTTGTGTTTTATTTATTGGTTACCTAGTCCTGATATATGTATTGTAATTGGAAACTAAATAAAACAGATATATCTTAGAGATTCCTGGTATTTCTTCTCCAAGAATTACAACTTTTGAACGAGCAAATAGAAGCGTGACCCATAGACTTTTTATGGAGTAGGAGACGAAGCTGATCACCTGATGGTAAGTGATCGGCGCCGCCCATCGACACCTGCAACGCCAGAGGAGATGTAGGCGCGTTGGCAGCCTTTTAAAACCCAGTACTTACGGTTTTTTAGGTTTGACGGTCGTATCAGTCCTGAAACACCGCCGCCACAGGCCGGCAACCCACTTGTAGTAATTCCTTTGGTACTACGAGTGTCCATGGGCGAAGCTGATTGCCTACCACCAAGTTATCCGAATGGTCGTTTGCCGATCTATGAAAAAAAATCTCAATCAACGTTGACTGGGTAACTGGTTGCCGTGCGCGGTTGTGTAGCGGGTTCATTTCCGTGCGTTGGTCTGGGTGTGATGTGTAGGTATGTGAAATTGTATAAAAAAATCCAGTCTTGCTATGCGAGGGAAAAAGTTTTGCGAAAATCGCACAGTTGTTGACTGCCAAATTTATATTATTTTTTTTTGTGAGGGGAAGATAAAGATAAAGATAAAGATAAATTTATTTGTATAAACATGTGTGGGTAACATTATACATATAGATGCAAATGCAGAAGGTAAGGTGAAAGCTCTAATGTTTCAACATGTTTTGCCACAGTTGGCGTACAAAATAACAATAGAATTAGGTAATAAAAACTATTAAAGAGACAACTAAAGTTAAAAATATGAAACAATCAACTAAAATAAGTTATCATTTAAAAAATCCTTGATACGATAATAACAATGTTTAATAAGGAAATTTTTCAGTTATCTTTTGAATAAATTATTGTTATTAATATTTTTTAAATTATGTGGAATTTTATTGTATATTTTAGGTGCCATACAAAACACACTTTTATGGACAAGTGCAATTATTTTATAACGCAACTAATTATAAAATAGATGTATCCAATTATAATAAACGCATTTGTATAGATTATAAGTGGAAATGCACAAAAAAAGTATTTAAACGAAAATGTTTTTTAAATGTAAGGTAACACTGGTATTTATATTTGTAATCTATTAATGGCAACACCATGTATTAAGCACATTCCGTTCAGAAATATTAAGTGTTAATAATTATTGGATATTAATTGATAATGATAGTTATTCTTATCTGGTTTTAGTAAGTCGTATAAAGAAATGCTTGCGGGCGCTTGTTTTTTTAAATATTTTTATATGGCAACATTTTTGTGGTAACGTCACGTGTCTCTTGTGTGTATTGGCTGGTTTTAGCCGACTTAAAAGTAGTAAGTATTGTATTTAAATAATATTCCTAATTCCCATATAGAAAAAAAAAATGATTTTGTTCAGCTTATTCAAGAGGCATTTTAAGTTCTAACGGCTTAGGTGGTTAACTAAAGGTAAACTTGGTATGTATTTTCGTTTCCTTTCACGGGATCACAGGATCCCGGACCTTTGGAAGGCGTACGAGGAGCCGAAGCCAACTCGCAGAGGCCCGTTGAACAATTTTAATATAAATGTGATGGGACATCAGCTGGCAATTATCCCTGTATGCACTATAAAAGGACAATCCCCGGTTGATGCAGGACTATTGTGAAATGTGGTAAAAATTGATAGGGTTATGGGTATGGGTTGCTATGCTCTAGCGGATGATAACTATGGAAATACTATGGCCCCTGCCCCTGACCGATATTGATACATACGGATAAACAGGCAGTTTGTATTTTTATTATTAAAGAGGTCTTATAAAATACTTACAAAGATTATTTTAATTTAGTTTATTAGCTAACATCGATGTAGGTAAATACCTGATTGTAAACATCACTATATTCATTTTTCGGACAACTTTTAAATAAAAAAACATGCCAAGATTGTTTGCGTTTAGTTTATTACTTATACCGATACACCACAAATAAAAACATACATTATTATTCATTTTAAGAGAGGAAACGAAACGCTTAGCTAGTTTGTTTTATTAATATTATTTCTTTTTACATAATAACAATAAAATCTTGCCATATTATTAAACGAAATTTCTAGAAGATTTTGTGCTCACAAAAATAGAAAGTTGATACAATTGACGATGGCGATTTGTTATAATATAGCTTAAGGTGTGAATTATAAAGAACAATTTTGAATATCAAATTTTATTTTACACAATTTACAGTATAAATTCGCATTAAAAACTTTGTTTAAGTTTAATTTGCATGTGTTGTATAGCTTAGCATAATTTGTATCAACTGTCCAAGCAATTTTGAACCGTAAAGGCAGCTTTTTTCTTAATTTTCGAGACTGATACCAGTTAGTTCCTTTACACAGAATCCAAATTTCGCACTTAATTCTTAAAATAATGATACAATTTTAAATATTGGTTAGCATATCGTTGTTTTGAAAATTCGTTTTAAATACCAATGTTTGTAAAGGAATTTTATTATTTATAATCTCTAAGTGATAGCACGGTGTATGGAATCTGGTCCCGAAAACCGAATTTGAAGCCTTATACCGTTCGTTTTTATTACAATGGCACATTTTCCATGGTGTTTATTGACTGGGCTTCTCCCAGTTGTACGGTCTCTTGTGCCTTTAAGGCTTATGTCATCAGATTACCTATAGGGCTGATGTTTAGCCGGGGTTGCGGGTTAAGCGCAATGAGTCACCACGGCCTCGGCCCAGAGCAGGAGAAGGAACGTTTTTAGTCAGTAAGAGTCTGACGCACTCTCTCGTCTTACCCTGTGCAGGAGAGCGCATGCGATGATTTTCTACTGGAAAAAAAATGTTAGCCTTTTTTTAGTAAGTGAAAGATCAGTCATTCTGTGTCCTTTATTAAATTTACCCGAGGGAAGTCGAAACCATTTAGTTTTTCTTCTCCTCAAATAATATATTCTGATTTATTTCGTTGCGGGATCCAAGACAGTTCATGTACCTGGGATTGTAACTACTGTAGATCCTGGCTTACAGGAGTTGCAGTAGTAACGAAAGGTTGTAGCGGGCATGTCTTAATTATGTCGTACGTTAATTATAACATTAGTCTGTCTAAAACTATATGTGTAATATTATTTGTCAGACTAGTACTTTAATATTTATCCCTCTCGTAAAAGTATAAAACATATTTCTTTAACTTATGCCGTACTCAGGCTCATTTAATGGTTGCTTAAATCAGCCGTTAATAAAAAATACTTATTGGTATTTAATTCGAATAAAAAAGAACGCAAAGCCAATGGCCTATCTTATATGTTAAGTGTTAGACTGACGTAGTGTAAACGCGTATCTCAATATTATTTATTAACACTTGAAAAAAAAAAATATCTACGCGGTCCTTATAATCCGTGTGGCCATTTTCCAAAACCAAGATTTCGCTATGGTGTTATATCTTCCATAATTCCAAATTAATCTTATGAAGTTAATTGTAATTTCGTTTGTGTCGTAATGAATGTATGGATCGAGAAGTTGAGTCGATATTTTCAAGTTGCGTAGTAGAAAGTTTTAATTTACGTATCGAATTAAGGGCTGATTTTTCAATGGTTAGATAAAAGTTACCTGGGGAATGATTATGATGCTGTCGCGTCAGAATGTTTGTTTAAAGACAGTGACAGCAACAATTTTATTCCTCAGAAAACATTTATCTGACTATTGAAAAATCAGCTCTAAGGGTATTTTTCACTGTTGGAAAGAAAACAGCCCTTAGGTACGAGTGAAACTCGTCTCTTTCATATGTATATTAAAATATTCTGTTCTTATTAAAGCGACGATTAGTTTTTTATATATGTAATATTCTTATGCCATTAGTCAATAAGGATGTATGTGCACTTTAAATTTGATTTTTCACTAACGTATTATGGGAAACTTATTTTGTATTTATCTCATGTATTGCGATTGTAACGTGACGCTTTAGTATTTTTCAGTGTTTCAAGTACATTGTTGTATTCGTAACGTATTTTTTTATTGAGTAGAGTGAATATTATAGTTATTGTCCAGATAATTGGTATTTGAAGATAAAAATGTCAGCCAAATCTTTCCAGTAGTGTATTTTTGTGGTAAATGCCGCGAATCGATGTTAAAAATGGCGGTTTTTCTACGAAATTTGAATGCCAATCAGCTGTCACGTGAGTCTTCTACCTTATTTCGCATCTAAGTCTTCGACTATTATGAACTCTGTTACGTAAGTCTTAAGGTAGATATTACTCGATTCCATTACGTTGATTTGCAAGAGCAATTTCGGATTTGTATTAAGCATCGCGAGTAAATTATAATGATGTAACTATTTAATAAGTATATTTAATATATTAGGTGTCTTCATTAAGCATAGTTAAGAATGTACGTAAGTTTTTAACGATATAATGTCATTATATCACTGTCTCACTCGCACGTACGCGAGGTTCGTGCGGCCGCGAGTGTGCGAGGGAGACAGGAATCATGTCCATTAGGGGAATGATGTGAGGGAATTTTTTATATTTTACTATGAATCGAAAAAGACATAGAGCCTACCTGTGTTTAAATATTATTTTTCTAGAATTTTTCGCTTCCCCTGTAGATCTCACTGGCGGTGTTACACCCTATATATTTTAAAAAGTTATTTTTTAATGTGAAATTTCCCCTAATGTTATTTCGAAAATAAATGCAATTTCTATATAAATATTCGATGTAAATATTGTACATTCGTTCATTTTTTTATTTTTATTATTATTATTTTTGTCTTAATTTATTTATTGAGATATTTTTTTATCAAAGAGTTTTATAGCCATATATTTGTTACTCCATGCAATATTATGAGTGTTTTTCTTTAAGTTGTATTGACATTGATTTTTTAATTTTATCCTTTGATTTTGTGCACTATTTGTTTTCTTTTTTTAATGAAAAATTTCTTGTACGTGCCATTTTATTTTGAAAGTGCGGTGATTTCGGAGATTCCTAAGAAAATTGTTTTGGTAGTAAAATTTCATTTTTAATTTCCTGTAGGTTCTCGAATGTTCTACAGTAGGAATTCAATGTACGCTTGGCTATGTGGCCCGTCGTCGCCTGCCCGGCCTGCTAGGCCGGACGCTGAGTGAAGTATGCTTGTGTAGGTTAAATGACGAAACGATTGTATCGAATGATATTTTTACTCACAATTTGAGTGAGGATAAAGTAAGGTGCGTTCTGTAATTATTATTATTATTGAACAATATTATGGTGCATTTAAATTGAATTTTCGGTGGCTGTATTTAAGGTTTAAGTTAGGAATTCGACTGTTATCATTTACCATCAGCCTGTTTTCTCCGTATCATAAAAGATCATTAAAACAAGAGCATCCATTGAGCTCTATTTATTTCATGGCAGTATTTTTGCTGGTATTTATGAAAGTCCTTTAATGACTTCTTCGTAACAATAATTCTGCATTTATAAGGAACAGTTCAATTATTTATTAAAAAACCATTTTATCGGAAATCACTATTAAAAAAAAATAACGCATCAAAATCCGTTGCGTAGTTTTAAAGATTAAAGCACACATATATAGATACTGAGAAAGCGACTTTGTTTGATACTATATAGTGAAGTTGTTCACAATAAACAGACGCACCTTATAATAATGATAGTAGTGTGATCAATGTTGTGATATATCAGTGATGAGTTGATGATGACCAGGCGCCCACGGGCCGCACGGCGTCCGTTTTGCTATGCGTCTCAATTACCGTAAAACGACTCAAAAGGAATGTGTCATATTTTATAATAAATAATCATCTATGTAATGAATTTTTGTGTTTTATTTATTGTTTACCTAATCCTGATATATGCATTGTAATCGGAAACTAAATAAAACAGATATATCTTAGAGATTCCTGGGATTGCTTCTCCAAGAATTACAACTTTTGAACGAGCAAATAGCTTCACTAGAAGCGTGACCCATAGACTTTTTATGTAGTTGGAGACAAAGAAGCTTATCACGTGATGGTAAGTAATCGGCGCCGTCATTGACACCTGCGGAGTAACAAGACGGCCTTTTAAAAAGCAGTACATACATTTCATGAAGGTTTTAATGTTGTATCTGTTCTGAAATACTACCGCTGAAAGATCATTCCAAAGTTTTGCTATGCGAGGCAGAAAGTTTCTCGAAAATCGCTCAGTTGGTGACTGCCAACAATCTATGTGATAGGGATGAAAAATTTTCGCGAGTTCGACGGCGAAAAGATGCCCAGCGGCGTTCACACCGAACAATTGTTCGGAACACAGACTGCCACTTTATTTTGTTTATCGTTCAGAAGTGCCTAATATTGGTCTTATGGCTGATTTTTCAATAATCAGATAAATGTTATCTGAGGAATAAAATTGTTGCTGTCACTGTCTTAAAAAAACATTCTGGCGCGACAGCATCATAATCATTCCTCAGGTCACTTTTATCTAACCACTGAAAAATCAGTCCTTATTGAAGTAAATGATTTAAGATTTAACTTTGATAAATAATGCGCATTTGGTTGGTGCTAGATGGTCTGCCTAATGATGGTGCCTGTCTACGTATAGGATATTGCATACCCTTTTCATCATACCTATTGTAATATAGAAGTTCTACCTAAGTGTTAGAGAGCCAAGCTTTGGCATGAATGGGTTGGCTCGACCGGAGTGATATCAAGGCCTCACGTCCCGCCAACATTGTGTTTCGCCGTGTCAGTGAGAATACTGGAAGCCCAAACATTTCCCTCCTCAATACCAAAATCCCTAAATCCCTAATCCCGAAAAGGTCGGCAATGCACTCATAACTCCCATTGCAGCGGGTGTCCATAGCGCGGCGTTGATTGCTTACCATCAGGTAATCCGTTTGCTCGTGTGCCGTCATATCACACATAAAAATCTATAAATATTTAACAAATATGACCTCACACATTGAAGTGACCACCCAAGTTGACATTCTAACAGGCAACAGCTCGCATAGGATATCCTACCGGATGAATGAATAAATAAAACTATTATTTCATACAAAATTTGTATTACCATTCAACATACATACATGCTTATGTCATAGCACTAGGGTGAATCACAGTTTACATTATGTACATACATGTGGATAACTATATACTTACTACCTAATAATATATTAATTTATGCTATGCTAACATTATGGGGTTTCATTATAATTATTTATTTTAAGCTATGTAACATTTGTGGTGTCAAGATTTTTTTTGTGACAGTGTTTGGTTTTGAATTTTTATATTTATAAAAAAATCGTAAACGTTTTTATGTATTTAAACCAGAATAAACTCATTGGTTGAGTGTGTAGTGCTTGTCCTGTGAACAACAGGACACAAGAAGTGACGAAATAAAATTAGCGCAATTCGAAATAAAAAGCTAGTATGGGTGTTTTTACGTCACTCGGTTCGTTTTTGTTAACTGCTGTAATGGCGTCATAGATACCATTTTCATCTATCTGGTACCAAAGCCCTGCTAGAGTTACATCTATACGCAACCAGCACCCCAGCATCCGCACCAAGGTATAGAGCCATCATTCACAGGCGCTGACAGCTTTCTAGATTTGTGCGTACAGGCAGATGTAAACGAATTAACGGAGGAACATACGCTGTTGGTTCTTTCATGTTCCGAATGCGATGTCGTCATTTCCTGGAGACAAAGAAGCACAAATTATTCTGACTGTAGACCTGTTTACCACAACACAATGATGAAGTTCTAGAAGACGGTTGAACATATTTGGCAATTTTAGAGTCCATAAACAGATCTTATAATTTCATAGACTATGGTGCATTCTGCACGAGACTTCAAAGCTTTTTGTCAAAAGAAGATAATGATTATTATTAAACTACTACAAAAGACCACCAGGTTTGTCAAAAAGACTTTTTAAATACCTAATAAAAAAGATGTGTTTACTAATGAAATCAAAAATCTCGTTCTGAAAATTCATTTTACCTGATAACTATCCCGCTTGTATCGCGGGCCTGAACTCGAAGAAGACAAGGTATTCCTCGGTCTATGTCTGACGCAGTGTTTGTGCTTCCCCATATCCTGGATCTCTCCGTCAATCAGCCGCTCATTGTCACTCTCTAACGGTCCTCCGTTCTTTGTAGCTCCATTCTTCAGGTCTTTCTTCTTGTCCCTTCTTTTTCTTTCCCTCTTTTTAAAGGTCAAGGAGAACCTTTTACGTTTTTTAATTTTTGGTGAGTCGGGTCTTTGGGGAGCTGTTGATTTTTCTCTGTCAGATCTACTTGTGTCGTCATCTGGGGGTGGAACTTGAGATTCTGAGTCTGTTTTCAGTGTTAGTTCTGTACGAGTAGACGAATCAGGCTCACCAGTTTTGTATGCTACTTCTTTCTCCAGATTAGCGAGCTCCATTCTCCGGAGTCTCTTTGGTAGTTTGTTGACTGTTGCGTATATTGGCTCCTCGTTTTCGCCGACGGGAGCAGATCGAGATCGAGAGAAGAAGTCGAATTTCTTTGGCTTGACTGGTATTCTCCTTTCAACGAAAACAACCGTGCTTGCAACCTCTGTAGTCGTTGTTTGGACTTCATCACCGGATTTGGGACTGGGACTACTGGGAATAGGTGTTGCTCTAGGGTAGTCGTAGGTAAGTTCTATATTTTTCTCAGTTACATATTTCTTTGGCGGTTGTTGTTCTTCGACAACAGGTACCCCTGAGATCTGCACACTAGTGATCGGCAACCCTACTGCTTCTTTTTTCTGGCAGCAACATTTCTGCGTTATCCGTCTCGTGTTGCACATGAACACCGAGTTCTGCTGTATGTACGTGGTCTGTATAGTGGGCGAGGCCTGGACTTCTCCTAGGAGGTCTTCGACATTTCCTCCGGTATGGAATCGGGGAGGTTGGTAGGGGGCAACGACGAAACCTGGTGGCGGGGGGCCTGCGACGTGGTAGGGGGGAGAGGTAACGGATTGGAAGAACCTGGGTACCTCGGGTGGCGCGTCGTGCACCAGGACGTCGACCACTCGCTCGTGACCATTGTCCGCTATATTTGGCTGCATTTTGTTTGTATTTTGCGTCATTTGTGCCGATTTCATTGCGTTCGTAATCTTGCGAGGCGCTTCTTGTTGGCATTCATCGCATGTGCATGGTGATTCAGCGCCGCTCTGGAAGATTAACAAATAAATCATAAGCATATTTCTATTTTTAAATAACAGCTTATATTTTCTCTAAAAACATGATGTTTTTGTATGAAATTCATGTAGTTTTAGCTCAGCAATCAGCATACTAAGAAAAACCGTTTAAAACTGTTACGAATTAGCGCCAAAACAAACACTGAGTCGCCAGAGAGTCGGGTTTGTTTGACGAGACCTAGTTTCCCATAACACTCAGCTGCAGACATTTCTTTTAAAGTTTTATTGCTGTCAAAATGGGCTACAGACTAGGCAGCTTCTAATAGAAAATATTTTACGAAACCTACTTATTTACATTTAACATTTTATTTATGCTTTTATGACTAATCTAAGAGTTATTTTTATCATTATTTTATTAAAGAATTTAAAAGATATTTTCGCGTTTTATGATATACCTACATATCCTATTGCTTTAAGATGTTTTTTTTAATTATTAGCTTAGTTGTATAAGTCTCAAAAACGTTTCATGTTTAATTTCATGCCCACCTGTAATTTGTACAATTGCTTGTGCCTTCAAATATTTGATTACCTAATGAGTTTTTTGTAAAACATTGGGTGATTGTATGGTTGGTGTGCTTATTTTTAAATAAATATAATCCATGGAGAAAATTCTAGTCATCGGTAGTACCTAAGTAGCTACAAAATAATGTATTCTATCATCACCATAGCATTGGGGTGCATCATGTCTGAGTAAGTACGTAGATAACATATCAGTCTTAACTAATGGGCTCTTTAACTGAGTTTAATACCACATACCACCAGGTAGTTGTGGACAGTAGGTCAAGCATACCGACATTTTTGTCAAAATTTGTAGTTATTTTTGTTGAAAGGAGTATTTTTTGACAACTCTTTTTTTATGGAACAGGTTAGGAAACGGTCAATTAATTCCGCACATGGACGCCCGCAACATTAAAGGAGTTACTAGTGCGTTGCCGGCCTTTTGAGGATGAGGGTTTCGGATATTCAAGGGTTAGGGAGGGATGGGGTAAAGGAAGGATTGGACCTCTGGTAACTTTACTCACACGGCAAAACACAACGCTGTGGTGATTTCACGCCGGTTTTCTGTGAGACCGTGGTATTACTCCGGGCGAGCCGGCCCATTCCTGCCAAAGCATGGTTCTCCTACACTTATATATTTTATTGAACATTTAAAACTCTTTATCTAATGCCCAAATTGTTCTTGGTTTGAACGTGATTTGCATCATGTGAATTTGTATGTTTGTAAACACGCTCACGTTACAGAAAAAATTATCACGTCTTGTCTCTGTCTTACTTTTATACTATATACTTACAAAAAACACAAGTCTAAATAAAACAATTTTTTACTTTTTAAAAACTGTGCCCCAGACTATGTTTTACTCCTGTCGTGGGCGCATTTACAAACGTGCAATTTCACATACACATCTATTCCAGTCTCGGGAAAAGTATTAGTGGATCACTCAAAGATTTATTCCGTGCGGGAACCGAACCCGAGATACTTTGCGCTGCAGCCAGTTGCCCAGCGACTGCGCCAACCGTGCAGTAAAACTAAAAATGGAATGAAAATCATTTGTCCAAACTAAAAATGGAATCCATTCCAAATATTTTTGAGTAAATAATCTCCTAAACTATAAAGACACTTAGTTATATTTATAAAATTAACCCTGAGTCTGGTCACCAAGGTCTGTGGTCGCATCTGTTCAGAAATATTCATTCGTGACCCGATTTACTTCACCCACCTAATCCGTCGCGAAGTCGTAAACTTTATTTATGTATACACTTCATTTTAACTAATTAAATTTTCATCGATTTAGGACAGCGAGAGATTGGTGATAAATTATAATTTAAATTAATTAAAACACATGTTTAAATAACCCTAGTTCGGGTGGTCTCTATATTTAAAATTATAACTGTTTTTATTTTATAGTTGCCTGTATGTACATATTAGTCTAGATTAAGTTAGCTTTTGCGATTGTTATTATTGAGACTTTTTTAACCTTAACATCGAACCCATTTTTAATTACTAAGGTATTCATGTGATCCATATGTATTATATGGAAATGAATCGCAAAATGTGTTTGTAAGCACCTAACTCAAGCACGCCTAGACCAATTTTGACAATTCTTTGTTTTTGTTGTTTTTATTATTGTCAGGAGAAAGTTCTTATCGAAACAAAATTCGAGGGAAAAATAGGGAAATGCGAGCCTTTTAGCGATATAGTTGATCCGTGTGAAGCGGGAGAGAGCCGCTAATTTTTAACATATTTTTTTATTTTATTTATTCTTATTAGTCCATCTTTGAGAATTAATTACAGTAATTAGGTAGACACGTATTTTTATCTTAAATTTTAAATACCTACTTAATGATTTGAATGTGACGTTATAGCTTAGTCACTTTTAGTCTGTGACTCCTCTGGTGTTGCGGGTGTCCATCGGTGGCATCTATCACTTACCATCAGGTGATCCGTCTGCTCTTTGGTTTCCTTTTACGTGTAAAAAACAATAATAACTTATCTTTCTTTTTATACCGAACACTTGTTATAAAAGCATCGCGACACGATTCCTAATCTGAACAATTCTTTGTGTGATTGACAAATTGTTGTCTTGGAAAATAGGCATTACTACTATGTTTATTTTGATAACCACTACAACAATGTAAAACAATGTCGCTTCCCACTGTCTGTCTCTATGTATGTAAGTATGCTTCGATCTTTAAAACAACGTGACTGATTTTGATGCGGTTTTTTAAATATAATTCAATTAGAAGGCTCAAGTGTATAGTTTGTTAAGGTTTGCGAACAGGAAGCTGGATTTTTTTTAAACAAAAAAATTGTCTATCTTCTAGCTAGAACATTAAAATTCAAGACAGCTAGACAAACAGCCCAGACAAACGATTTGCATTTCAAACTCAATGCAAATACTTCCCGAACAAAATATATCTAACAATTAATATCTTGACACGAGATTTGAATATTAAAATGGATTATGATACTAACTTATGAATGACGGCTTCGCCCGCTTGTTATTAAGGTGTCTTTTAAGTAGATTCTTATAAATCTATACTAAAGTAAATTTTGTTTATTTTTTTAGACGTGGTCTCAATTTATCTTGCACTCATTAAATTAATTTTTTTTAACTTTCACAAACTAAATTTTAGTACAATAAAAATAAATTAATAAAAATATTTGAACGAATAAATAAAAATAAACGAAAAAATACATCCAAACTAATATTATAAATGCTATAGTAACTCTGTATGTCTGTCTGTCTTTTCTTCACGCCTAAACTACTGAACCTATTTGTGTGAAATTTGGTACAGGCGTAGTTTGGATCTCGAGAAAGGACATAGGATAGTTTTTAAACCAAAAATCTGTAAGAAAAAGTTACTATTCCACGTGAACAAAGTCGCGGGCAAAAGCTAGAAAAAATAAAAATAAATAAATAAAACCTAAAATAAAAAGTTAACCAATGGTAAATGTATTTCTAAAAAGTTTTCTAACCTTATTCAAAACAAAGCTATCTTTCGTCTATAAAATTACTCGTATAGAAACTCATATAACGTTATTCAAATAATACGCAATAACCATGATTATATGGAGTCTGGATGACCAGACATTGACTCAAGAGGGCTATTCTTGTTTGAACATAAAGTGCTTTGAAATTGATGACTATTGCTATACATATTGAACCAGACTCTTTTAACTAATGGTGGCAGACAGATCGATGTAATATTTTTGAAATTCCTGTATTTAATGTAATGAATCCCGTAGCTTTTAGGACATTTTGGATAGCAGAGATATAATTTTCACGATTCCCACTCAGAGCCTCTATAGCTACACAACTTAAAACATATACGTATAAGGAACCCATGACAACAACTACCATTGCATCTACTTCGTTTGAGATTTTTTTTTATGTAATAGGTCGGCAAACGAGCAGACGGATTACCTGATGGTAAGCAATCAGCGCCGCCCATGGACACTCGCAACGGAGGAGTTAAGAGTGCGTTGCCGACCTTTTAGGGATTAGGGATTTGGAGATTTAGGGATTGAGGAGGGATTGGGGATGGGGAAGGACTGGAATAACTATAGGTCGTAAACCTTCCCTGGACTTCAACGAATATTTGAAGGCCAAAAGAAAAATTACCCTAAACAGAACCAGCCGTTCTCGAGTTTGAGCGAGACAAACGAACAGCAATTCATTTTTATATAATTATAAGAAGATCAAGAAGAAGGTAATGATGTCACTTGATAGGGAGGAAATAGTTGTATATTGTAATTTAGCCTTACGGAATTTTGAGAAGCCTAACCTATTGAAGAATAATTTTGCTAAATGAGAACTAGGTAACTATTTATGAAAGTATTGGCAGAAATTTTCAGAATAGGGATTCCGGTTTCTCTGCTGTTGTGCTCAGAGTCAACTTAAATAATATCATTTTATAGGGAACGGCAATCTCGGATAACACTGCAGTTTTCAACAACCCTTAATTGTTTTTTTTTCAAGTTTTATTTACCAGTAGTTTTGTAAAAATTTCGATTGCCAAAAATGGCAATTCTTTATTTAGGCAGGCAGGTAAAATTTTACACAAATCAGTAACATTTGTAAGTTAAGAAGAACATATTATCAAGGAAAACGTAACAACAAACGCTTTCGTAAATTTGTCAGAGAAACACAATGTACCAAGTATTAAAAATAAACACAACACCATTGTCCAAAGTCCTTTCAAGCCGAATAAAAAAACACACACATACATACAACTAAGTCAAAATTTTCACTAAAAATAATAACTATCTACATAATTATGTATGTTTTCCTTCAATCTGAATTAATAAATAAAATAAAAAAAAGTCGGTAAAGTACCTTCATTACACAAACTGTCACTCGCAAAAATCACGGAACGCCAAGCGGCGCACGCGCCGGTCCACACGCTACTGGGTTTATTTATAAAACAACATAACGTAGAAAATTTTCTTACACATGAATTTCTTGGCCGGCCTTGACTCATTTCCTATCTATAAAGTAAAAATATTTGTTCCGTACCACCTTGGTGGTCTAGTCCAGTGGACATTAGATTGGCTGTGGACATAGCATTGTTTAAGGTATAGGAATAAGTCGGCTCCACCGGAGTGATACAAAGAAAACCGGCGTGAAACAACCACAGCGTTGTGTTTCGCCGTGTGAGTGAGGCTACCAGGGGACCAATTCTCCCCAAATCCTTAATCCCCAAATGGTTGAAAACGCCCTTGTAACTCTTCCGTTGTTGCGGGGTTGAGGGGTAAGCGCAATGAGGCACCGCGACCTCGGCCCAGAGCAGAAGGAACAGGGAATTTTTAGTCAGTAAGAGTCTGACACTCCCTCCCGCTCGGCCCTGGGCGGGAGAAGTCATTTGATGATTTTTCACGCACAAAAAAAAAATCTCTTCCGTTGTTGCGGGTATCTATGGGCTTACCATCAGGTAAACAGAAAGCGCGTTTAGTATTTAAGTTTAATTATCTTAAATCCTCAGTTACAGCATTGTGTAAAGTCTCACGTGATTTCCATATACAACAACTCATAAGTAGTGTGTAGTAGTTGCATGACGAAATTCGAAATTTGGAAATTCGCTTTGGCGGAATTAAGAACAGTCTTAAAATCTGCATGCTGTAGTTGCAATGAATGCCCATATCGCTTAAAGGACAGACGGCGTATGGGCCAGGAAAGTGTTAAATTTGAGGCTACGGGTCGGAAGACGGGCAGGTCATGCTAAGTGGACCGACGACAACGCCAAGGTTGCGGAGAGCCGATGGATGCAAATGGCGAGTTACACGCTGTGGAGGACTAAAGTTGTGAGGTTTATTGATGACATCAGCAGAGGCAGATGTGTCACAAGCAGAAAAGAAAGTCTTACTCTAGTTTTAATCAGAAAAACAGAGAGCTTGATATTATTCATAAATATGCTTACAATTAGTTACGACAATAGCGGTTTCTAATTAAACTACAAAATGGCTTTAGGCATAGAGAGATTTATTAATATTCTCTTCCTACCACAAATATACCCATATGGCTAAAACCATGACTAATTAGTTTCTATTTCATATGCAGAATGGTTTCAGGGAACGATTTGTCAGACGTCTATTTTAGTCCCGTCAAACTGCTACGGCTCACGGAAACTGATCAATAATCTGCGTACACGTCAAACTATTTGATGGTTTCCTTGTGTCGTTTTTTATTTCGGCAAACGAGCTGACTGGATTGCCATTCGTGCATCAATCCCACACTTAGCATAGGTCTCCCACACTTGAATTTTTTATCTTAGTAATTAAGCGGCACCGCAGAAGTTGCTTGTGTGTTGCTGGCCTTAAAAGTTATGGGGATTTCGAGATAGGGAATTTAAGGATTTAAGGTCGGCTCGACCGGAGTGACTCCCCGACCTTACAGAAAACCGGCATAAACCCTTAATCCCTAATAACCCTCAAGACACCGGCAACGCACTTATAGTCACTCTTTGGTACAACGAGTGTCCATGGTCGGTGCTGATTGCTTACCATCAGTAATCCGCCTGCAATTCCGTCTTACCATATTAAATAATATTATTATTCATATCATATTTTAACAACGTACCTTATCTTGTTCCGCTTCTTCAGGCACCACGCTCAGATCATGGAAGGCGACGGCTCTGCCAGACCCATCCACGCTAACACAATCTGGACACACGCTGCAAACTGACACGCTGTCCTGCCAACCGATAATGTGCTTTATTTACTTAACACTTAAAATCATTGCCGAGAACTTTCCATTCTGGTCATGCAAAGTATTGACCTTGACTATTGGGTAGTTTTGGTTATCCACGGAGGCCTTTTTTTGAGGGGGAAATCATCTAATTACTTAAACGACTTGAGGATGAGAGGTAGTGTTAGAGTCTTACTGACTAAAATCTACCTAGTTCCTACTCCTGCTAGAGCCAGGGCCGCGCTGGACTTGCAATCCCGTCTAACCATATTAAGACCATCTGTAGTGGTCTAATGGCTCTATGAGGTTTTATGAGGCTTTCTTCAGTTATGCTTTATCCCATGTAATCAATAAGGGGTGACACTTGACATTCATCCAATGAAAATCTTGCCTGGATATTAATCCAGGCGTGCGGCGCGTAGTGCTCCGCTCGCGCCTCAATGAGCCAACAGACGACCACCACAGTCGGGGCCAAACAGGGCCAATGTTTATCCGGGGTTGAAAATACATTGAAAAGACATTACATGATTTTCATCAAAAAGGATATGCAAAAGGGTAACCCTTCGAAAAATCCTAGTGTAATTTTCTTTTATTGTAACAATAAAGGTATTATTACTTTTACGTACGTCTGAGTGTTCCGGGGAAGACCTTCGGTCCCGAAGCATGCTGTCCAGGCGATCGTATTCATATCGAAGAGCTGATATCTCCCTCTTCAGCTGCTCGTTCTCACGTTTTAGCTTTTTGATGTCCGACTGACCTGAGGGCAACATACATTATACATCACTTCGTCCGGAGTTCTGCATAATCTCTAAGCTTGTCTGGAGATACTAGTTAAAAAGATATGTCTAAGAGAGCGCTACTGCCGCGCATTTTTTGGGATGAGGACAGGGGGAAATCATCTCTCAAAACTGGCTGGCTGAAAAAGAGTAGTCATGGCGTTTCTTGCTTGTTATTTCATCCATAGAAATCTACATTTTGGAACGAACAAATAGCCTCACAAGAGGACCGACAGACAGATCGTCATGTTTTATCGTTAAAAAATGTTTGACGTTTTTATAACGGTCTAATTGTAATAAATTATTTTACTTTGACTTTCATAGGATCCCACACTGAAAGACTATCTTGCATTCCACAGCGGAATTCAATCAGAAGATATTATTTAGGGGAGAAGAAAACGCAAATAGTTTCCACTCCCCTGGGTAAGACCTCCACTCCACACGGCGAAAGAAAACGCTGTGATTGTTGCACACCGGTTTTCTGTAAGGCTGTGGTACCATTCTGGTGGTTCATTATGATGGTGATTCGATTTATTTTAAGAACACAGTTATTAAGAAATGTACTATTCGTCCAGTCAATTAAAAAAAAAATCGCTAAAATCAGGTACACCACAGATACCTACCTCTTTCAACTTCGGCATTGATATTTATCGTGCGCAGACGCAGCTCTTCGTTTTCGTACAGCATGCCCCTGGAGGATTTCCGGTCCAACCTGAGGGCAAATGTGAATTTAGTTTTTTGACCTTGTTGGTTGATCAGACCAAGTCCAGATCATGTGTAAGGCTTGCCTAAAATCATTTCATTAGCAAAATAAAAATTGACAGTGGCTGACGAGACCGTAAGCGACAGAGGCGCCATCGGTAAAGTGCAAAAAATAAATAATTGAATTACTGATGTATGTATATTGTATAGTATTTCAGTATGAGGATTATTGTTTCATGTTTGCGATGTTTTATGGGTATGATGTGAAAGGACTACATGATCTGTACTCTGAAGTTCATAAGTAATCTAAGATGTCCATGCAACAACGGAAATATTCAAAGGTTTGTTATAAACTAGTTAACAGATAGTATAATGAAAGCGAATGATGCAATATGCGACAGTGAAATGAGAAAATAGATGCTTTACAAACAGAAAGTCTGGTCAAAGTAATTCTGGAATGCAAACCTATGCATAAATGTGTTTTGCTGAACATGAGATATGATATGATGTCCCATCATCTAATTAGGACTTTGGGACACATACTTAGAATAAAATTGGAAGTGAAGTACTGTAAGAATGTATACTTATTTGGCAGTGTGGACCCCCATCTGAGTAGTCTTAAAAACTATTTTACGGGCGGTAGACAAGTATCGTAGAGGAACAAGGAGGAAGTGAACATATCTGAGGGCCAATCCTCCCCTTCCTCAGATCTCCAGCTCTCAAATAACCTATATTCAAATTCCTAACTACCAAAAGACAACACACTCATAACTGCTGGTAGTTCTGGTGCTGTGGGCATCCTTTGGCGCTGAGTGCTTTTCATCAAGAGCAATCTGCCTATTTGCTGCCATATCATAAAAAAAATACCCGACTGCACACTAAAAAAAGAGTAAAACAAGCCCCACAATACAAATTTACTGAATATAATTTATAAATGTTGATGGAAAGCATCGCAGGCGGGGACCAACAGAGGCTTATTTATAGTCATTTCTGTTGTGCACCATTTAGCAGAATTTTCGTTGGTGGCGGTCAAGGTGGTCCCCGCCTGCGATGCTTTCCATCAACATTTATAAATTATATTCAGTAAATTTGTATTGTGGGGCTTGTTTTACTCTTTTTTTAGTGTGCAGTCGGGTATTTTGTTTTTTTAATAATAATTTTTTTATTTATAACTTTTTAGCTGTTTTTATTTAACGAAAATGTTGTAGATGTAGAAGACTATGTATATGTAAGTACCATTTTAAATTATTTCGACGACATTTGGCTTTAGATTACGAGTGATGTTACTCCGCCGCATGCCAGGCCACGCCCTATCTTTTTGCTTGCTAACGCATGAGTTGCTTTGCGTTGACGCAGAATTAACATGTTCCCGTGGGAATTTTGAGAAAAAACGTATCCTATATTAATTACTCCCGTGATTGAAATGAATCTAATGATACCGCATACATATTTTTTTAAAGGGAAATTTAGAAAAAATATTATTATGTCTTTATCCCGTGGGACTTTTAGGATAAAATGTATCCTATGACACTCCCGTAATCAAGACAAATCTAACGATACCTCATACATCAAAATCCATCAAGCCGTTTAGGCTACAGGAGGTCACAAAGGAAAAGACATACATACATACTTACATACACTCGAAAAACATTACCCTCCTTCTTTGGCAGTCGGGTAAAAAAATATTGCATAACATCACAATTTTTATTTGGATTATAGTTTTCACAATCATATGATATGTGTGACGTCAATCCGACCTGAGAGTTGCTGTCGAATGTGACCAAGCATTTTTGTGACCTATGTATGATTACTCGTGTATATTATGATAATTTGGAACATCATTGGTTGATAAATCTGTAAACAAATATTTTATCTCCTCAACTACTACCAACTATTACCACTACTATGATTTCACACCATGAGATTTCATGGTGTGAAATGATAGTAAAAAATACAAATCGACTATTTTTATGAAAGTAATTCAATTATATGACCAACTCTTGTGAACTATTCGAGAAAAGCTCTACTGTTTTCAATGTAAAACGGGACTCATATTCATCAGCAGCGTACGTAACGCAGCGTTGTCACCACTGCGCCACGTTGCCACGCTAGTTGTTGGATAAGATAAGAAATACCAACTCCATATAGCTGTTGGTTTTTGTGAGGTCATGTTTGTATAAATATATAAACAATTGATAAAAAAAATTGCCAATTCACGACACGAAGTCAGTCGCTTTGTCGCCAAAGGCGGAGTCACACCAGAAATTACTCATTTGAGTTGTCAAGGAACGTAGCGTGCTGAACGAGGGAGTTGAAACAAATATAAGTAAATCGAATCAATCGGACATATTTCAAGGTCAAACTTTGAAGTACCCATTTTGTAATCATGTCCAGCAAAAGGAAGAGAATAAGAATGGAGTGTGTTCCAGCCTTGAGGGTGCCAACAGACATTCCTTACGCCATTTACAGTGCACATAACATAAACACCTTGTTACCTATCATCCTCATCCTGTAACTCTTTGGGTCTGGTCATGGACCTCTTCAGTCTCCACAAGACGCGGTCTTCTGCCAACCGAAGCCAGAATGTACCAGCTACCCTTCTGAGTTCCATGCCTGGATACGCCCCACACACCTTTTGTCTGTCTAAGTCCAGGAGAGTTAGCCTCTAGAATTTTGTTTTGATCTACCTAACCCTTGGCCTAGGTTCGGATTGGATGAAGAATATAGGAAACTTATCCTTGGTGACGTGCAAAATAGGTCTTTGCCAACCAACTCCTAGCTTTTGCCGGATAAAGGAGCTGTAAGGGTTTTTCAGCCTACGAATAGAGATTAAGTTCTTTTTGACGAACCTCCTTCACTGTCTAATCTGGATAATTAATCGAGAGCTATCTATAAAACATTACCGTTTATTATCCATTATTTTTTATTTTTTCCAAGGAATTTGAATTAAGTGCTTTGATTTGGTTTTTGTCGGATTGGTGTACTCATCTAGATCATAAGAACTTCTCAAGTTTTGCTTAATGTGCACTATAAACGGGTGACGTTATGACATGGATGGCTGAAGGTTAAGAAGCTACTACTATGGGCACATGCGTTATCAATGAAGATGAGGATGTTCGAGAAAGTCATTGGCTAGTCACATTTTAACCTGTAAAGTCTAACTAAAGTTATTTCAATTGTACATCTGTTCTATCATGACTTTCTCTTAGCGATTGGGTGTTGTGACGCAAATGTTTCTATGTCACTCACTTTCGGTTCGGTTTGACGTTGACATCTTTTCTGCGCGTACGCAGCATACTCGCTCCCGTCATGCCCGACATCTTGCCGCTCGACAGCCATGCGACGATTAACACCTGTAACAATAGAAAAAATATTTTTATCCATTTATCTATACTGATATTATAAAGAGGTAAAATTTTTACGTTTGTATGTAGGGAATAATCATTGGAAACGCTGGTTGAATTTCCAAAATTATTTCATTGATAGATATTAGCTATTTGTACTTGATTTTCGTATTTTAGTCGTGCTATCGCTTTAAATGCTGCTGTCTTTAAAATTCCGGAAGCATGACTTTCATACGCGTGCGAAGCCGCAGGCCGAAGCTAGTTCAGAATTATATTTTTATTATTCACAACGGGGTTGGTAAGTAGACTTTTACTTGATGGTAAGCATTCGGCGCTGCCTACGGATGGCCGGCTTTTTGTATTATATTACTTTTGCTTTTTATATTATGTAATTCTAAGTTAAATTGTGTCTCGTTATATAAAAGTATGCCAGTCATTAAAATATTGTTGGTGAACTACATGGTTGTTTCATTCTACAGTTTCTTCTTTACGCAGGTTTTCTGTGAGGCCCTGGTTTTGCTGCAGTCACCCCTGACGCTTTCGCGTTTGAGCATGGCTCTCACATTATTAGAGTTTAATTATCTTAAGCTTCGAACTCCTAGGTGCATACACTTATTGTGACGGAAAATGTATGTATTAGTATATTGATTTGTAGGAAGTGAATTTAAAAATTTTAAAAATTAACTTTTTGTTACGCATTGTTGAAATTTTGTATATGGGGCAATTCTGTAGATGTAGAGAGAGCGTTTAAAGATACTTGTATTATGGACCATTGTAGGATATTATTTAAGGTAGGTACATCGACTGCCAAGTTTATATATTTTTGAAATTTGCTTTTTTTGGTGATGGTAAACGTCGTGGAGTAAACAAAACAATAATTTGCAATAATAAGTTAGAAAGCGTCACACCGCCTTGAGCGAGCGTGGTTAATACTCGAACCTTTACCGCGTGAGAAGATGCCTTTGCTCAGCAGTGGACACTTATAGGCTGACGATGATTCTTATTTCTTTCCAATTAAAAAGGGTTCAGGTAAAAAAAACCTAATGAATAAATATCACCAGGCCAAAGAATCCAACTATACAGTCGCAATCCCACTGCATGGGTAAAAAATCTTAAAAAAATTCTATTACCAATTTGTCTATTTAAGTATAAATAAGACACGTGATAAATAAAAAACGTACTTATGTACTTGTAATAAGTTATGCAAAAGTATATAGGTGGCTTATCAGAATCCAAGGTCACATCTATATAAACCCAAATCTGTTGAGTTTAATGATATTGCGCGAAGATTACAATTATTGCGTAAATGTTTCTTCATATTTTGAAAATCACATAAATTATATTAGGTACCTGTAGTATATTTTTAAATATGCCTATCATTATCTATTTAATAATTGTTTATTGATAAAAATGTAATGTAATTAACGGTTCAAGTATTTTGTTAAGAATGATGATGTGAATGTTATTTGAAAATGGAAAAAGAAATTTATATTTTTTACTTCCAAAAAGGTGGGAGTTAAATAGATGTCAAAAATAGTTATTAAATAAGTAACATTTTTTATTTTTGTGTTTTCTAGTTTACTTATTGAAGTCATTTTTTTAACACACACAAACAGGTTTCGAACTCACACCCTCATGCATGGAAAACGGGCGGCCTTAACCTCCGAGCTACCATGACGTTATCATTTTAAACTTTGATAAAATGTTTGTGTATATATTTCATTTCATTAGGTAATATTTGTATATCTTACCACGTGGTAGAGTACAAATAAATTCATAATGGTTATCATAATAAGTTTAACTGTTAATAAGTTTTATTGACTCAGGTAATCTATAGTAAATCTCGTTTGTGCGGCTGATTGCTATATATTTTATAAAGGCGTTTAATAAGTATTTAACGTAATCGGTCAAAAAAACCTAAACTTTATTCAATATTAAGCAAATATGTAATTAATTTTGGTACTCTACAGGAACGTTACTTTGCAACTCAGCAACAAATCTCTTAGAGATTTCGGTCGAACCAGCTCAGCTCTTGCAAGCCACATTTAAATAATAAAAATTAATTTGGGAACGGAATAAGTATAAAATGTATTTTTTTTAGTCAGATTAGGTAGGTAGGTACTATGAACATAGGTACATACGTTAACTCTAAAAAATTAAAATAAAAAGGTGCAGTTTACCATGGATTTACCTTATCATTAACACATTTTTTATTTAATCACACAAACCAATTTATTTTAAATTTGAAACTTTCTTAAACAAGATCTATTCGATTAATACACTCGGCTACCAAAAACACTATTACCTAAACTCTAGAAACATTAAAATTTCAAGTAATAAAAGCAATATAAAAAGACACGACTATAACCAAGCATTACTGTACAGGATAATCCGACTTATACGCTTTGCAATAAGTACTGAAATCGCCTTACCTCATTTCGTAATAGGATTAGAGTCACCTAACGCGTTAGAGACAGTGGGTGTACTGAACCCGAGACGGGAACCAGCCACTTGACTTCGCACATGCGCAGTAAAACTGCTGACGAAGACTTTTAAGGGACAGTCAGCGATGAAAGTAAACCATTTTTTTTTTAATTTGAAATCGACATCAATTATTTACCTAAATAAAATATGACTGAATATGACGCTTTGGCTGCACAGCGTGTCGCGGGTTCGGTTCCCGCACAGAATAACTTTTTTGTGATCTACACACAAATTGTTGTTCCGGGTTTGAATGTGATGTGTGTGTGACATTGTATGTTTGTAACGTATGTGACATTGTATAGTAAAAAAGTGCCCCCACAACACAGAAGAAAACCATAGTGTGCGACAACGTAAAAAATACCGTTGTGTCAATCTAGTGCGTATGTATTACACAATGATCTAGGTTCGATTTCCTTGTTTATATGTACATCGTTGAAACGGCCTTATCCCCAAAAGGCCGGCAACGCATTTGCAACTACTTAGGTGTTGGTTCTTTGCTTACCATCAGTCCATCAATACTAACTCGCTAGCCGTCAACACATAAAAAAAACTTGTAATAAAATTCTAAATACAAACTATTAATATTATAAATGCTAGAAAGAAACTCTCTCTGCCTATCTGTCTTTTCCTCACGCCTAAACTACTGAACCGATTTCTGTGCAATTTGGTGCAGGCATAGTTAGGAACTCGAGAAAGGACGTAGGATAGTTTCTTTACCAAAAATCTGCAGGAAGTCACTATTCCACGCGTACGGAGTCGCGGGCAAAAGCTAGTATCATTATAAAATCTGATCTAATGTAAGTACATAGAGAAAGAGCAGTAATGATGTACCACGATCAGGAGCGGAGGTGGTTTTTAGTCAAGAAGGAGACTGACACTCTCTCTTAGACTGGCGAAGAAATTGGATGTTCCCCCTCAAAAGAAAACCTGTATTAAAAACACTAGAATATGATCATGTATGTTTAATTTTAGCCATTCGTGTATTATAATTTTTATATTGACTGTATGGAAAACAGCAAGATAGATACCCATAGTACTTTTTTTTTTTTTTTTTTTTTTTTTTGTGAGGGGAAAATCATCAAATGACTTCTCCCGCCCAGGGCCGGGCAGGAGGGAGTGTCAGACTCTTACTGACTAAAAACCCCCCTGTTCCTTCTCCTGCTCTGTGCCGAGGTCGCGGTACCTCATTGCGCTTACCCCGCAACTCCGGCTGAACATCAGCCCTTTAGGGCCCCGTCTGTGGTGGTCTATTGGCTCTTTGAGGCGCGCGCGGAACGCTACGCGCCGTACGCTCGGGCCTGGTTCTGGTCGGGCGGCGAGCTGCCCTTACTCGCCGACCGCAGGCCCGTACTTACGGTGGCCGGAGATCGTCCCTCGATCCCCGACGCCCGTAGTGTCGCCAGTTGCGGCTGCTGGGGCGCGAGGAGGAGGATTGCTCCCTCACGCGGGCCGCCTCTCTCTTTGCGAGCATGACCGCTTCACAAAAGGAGGAGACGGCGTCCCAGTTCCTCTCACTCCGCACCATGGCCTCGACTAAGGCCGGGCGCGAGAGGTCGCCGCCGCCGATCACTTCCCTGAGGATACGGCGGTGCTCAGCCCAGGCAGGGCATACCGCTACCGTATGCTCCACCGTATCCTCTAGGTGGTCCTCACAATGACGACACTCGGGCGTTTCCTCCCGCTGAATCCGAAACAGGAACCTACCGAAGCTGCCGTGCCCGGTAAGCACCTGCGTCAGACGGAAGGTGAGGACGCCGTGGCGTCTCTCAAGCCACTCCTCAAAGAGGGGTCTTACCGCTGCTATGGTAGCGTGCCCGGCCCTCGGTTGCGACAGTCGTTGTCTCCACTCTGCCATGAGATCTCGCCGGAGCTCATTCCGCCACGCACTTATTTGGCGCGGCAGAGGATCTTCGCCCCGGCGACGCGCGTCTGCGCGCAAACTGTAGACGCGCGCGAGCGCCTTCGCTTCTAGATCCCACGGCGGTGATCCGGCAAGGAGGTTCGCCGCCTCCCCGGAGATCGTGCGATACCCGCGGATTACTCGTATAGCCATGACCCTCTGGGACGCGACCAGCGTACGAGCCGGCCGCCGCTTCAAGTCCGGCGCCCACACAGGGGCACCGTAGAGGGCCATGGATCGCACAATCCCCATATACAACCTCCGGCAGGAGGCGTTTGGCCCCCCGAGGTTGGGAAGGAGCCGCTTGAGCGCGGCCCCAGACCGTTCCAACTTAGGGGCCAAACGACGAAAATGCTCCGTGAAGTTCCATCGGCTGTCGAGGACGAGACCCAGGTACTTCATCGCCGACTCGACGCCGATGGTAACTCCTCCTGCCGTTACTTGGGACCCACCTGGAGGTGGCGCGCTCCGACGGCCATAGAAGCACATGGCCTCGGACTTGTGGAGCGCCACCTCGAGTCCCAACTGCCGGATCCTTGCAACGACTGTCGCAACCGCTTGTGACATCAGGTCGGCCGCCGCCTGATGCGACCTCCCGTTCGCCAGCACCAGCGTGTCGTCAGCA